CCAGTACGGTCCTGGCGCTTGGTTAATAAGATAAATATATAGATATATATATATATATATATATATACTTTTTTTTATCAAGTGCACATTTGCCTCAAAGAAATTAAATTCCCTTAATATCTCTTCTAAGAAGGAAAAGTACACCTATGTTTTGTGTTCCTTTGTGTTCAGTTTTGATTTGCCCTCGTATTCCTCGCAAGAAACCGTGATATTTCTATGGAAACAAAACTAAGCATTTTCCTGTGGAACATACATTAAGAGCCTTACAAAACATGTTCATGTGTGTTTTTTTTCAGTGGTCCCACACTTTGCTCAGAATGTGGAGAGATCTGTAAACACGCTGGCTAAAGATCCCCGTGGAGAGGTGGATGAGGCTCAGTTTATTGATGCTTCTAAACTGGTAAGGATAGGCTTCATTTTTGGTGCAGCAAGCTATGACTAGGCAAGTCTCGGAAAAATTGCCAACAAATAATAATAATAATAATAATAATAATAATAATGATAATAGTAATAATAATAATATTTATTGATTTGTATCACGCAAATATCAATCGAGAGAAAAAAAATTTCATCTGCGCATTACATTGACTCAACAAAATCTTAAAATCCTAAACATATTCCAATTAACAAAAAGTCTTATTTACAATAACTAATTAATCTTTAAAGTCCCATATACCAATCCTTCTTTGTGAAAAGAATAAAAACAATGAATTAGCTAGGAAACGCCTTATGGAATAAATGAGTTTTAAGAGCCGTCTTGAAAGCATTAACTGAAGATATATTTCTAATAAAAAGGGGAAGATCGTTCCATAATTTAGGGGCAGCCATATAAAATCATCGATCACCAAGCGTGGAAAGAGACTTGCAGGGTTGAATGTTAAGAAGTTTGCCATCATTTGATCTAAGATAGTACCTTCCCCCCCTGTGTCTTTCAAGGGGTAGGTACTATCAAACACAATGAAGAAACATGGCTTTTAGATGATCTCGAAACGAAACCTTCCTAAAAGAGTTGTAAAGGCCGTGGGATCCTCGGAGGGCGATTAACCAGGAATAACCGGTTTTTTTATTTATTTATTTAGTTTTTGGCGTTTGTCTCGGCGTTTGTGGGCAAACGCGATGCCAGCTTGAGGAAAGCGCTAGGGCGAGTCGCTTCGTNAAGAGAAGGCGGGGGGGGAGAGAAGGCGGGAGGGGCTTTCAAGTAATCTGTTGGCGATGAATTATGGGAATTATATTTAAGATATTTAGTGGAGGGCTGTAGACTTTCTATAAAGCAAGGCGTACCGACTACGTGAAGATTGAAACCTTATGCCCAAACCGTGGTTTCATACACATGCATGATCGCGAGAGAGTATTAAAATCTATGAACATTACTTTGTCTTGAGTGACACCTACATGTTGTTATTTTTGTTTTCGCAGAGACGAGGTGGTGAAGAAGTGGAAACGGAGGATTCAGCTGCGGTGTTGTTTGCCGAGGCACAGGCTCGTGCCAGAGAACAAGCTGCCTATGAACAACTCAAAGCGAGTGGTATGTTGATATCTTTAAAGAATAATTTGTGCAATACCACTTGTTTTCCCGCCCTTTTGGGGTTTTGCTGCTATGGACCGTGGGCTTCGGTACACTTTTTTTTTACTATAGCGGCCATCTTGGTTTTGTTATGTTTTGAGATCGTAATAAGTTAATGTCTTTGACGACTTCTTCCTATTCTGGTATCGAGAACAAACATAACAAAGTGATTGATCATTCTTAGGAGAGATAAAACTCGTATTTGCCAAGGAGCTGCCCAGAAATCAAAGTACAAATGAACAAACTGCTTGAAGCGCCAATAACGCGACCAACCAGGTCACGATTGGTTTTAGCTTTTAAATTGATTGGTTGAGAGAATGGCACGAATTTTACAGACACATCACAGGTCGGAGGCAAAAAAAGCCCATGCCATCTCGCATTACATTTGGACGCTCACTTGGAATGTTTTTTAAACTCTTGTTTTTATTTCAGGTAAATTACAGTTTGAGGTGCGTGCCGAAGGAGGTGAAGATGAAGGTGGGATGGGTGTGTCGTCCATCAAGGTGAACGGTGTGGAGCATTGTCCCAGGAAGCCAGGCCATAATGTTGTTGTACTTGATCCGATTGGTGACGTGTACGCAGTCAGAAATTTCAACACCAATTCAGGGGAAGGCCCGGCTATGGGACAGTTTTTGAACCAACTTCCTGAGGATCATGTTGTTCTTGTGGCTACTCAGGAGCTGACAAGCCGAGAGCAGGGTAAGGGTTCAAGTTGGAGGAACAGTTTTTCAAGTTTGATCATGGCGTGTTACAATTGTCCTGATATCTTGATTGGAAAGCGAAGCGCCTATTATGCTTACTTGACTTGTTACTGATCTTTTGAAAGAAAATTTCACAAACAATCCAAACGTTCGTGTCAGTGTTATGTTAGTTGGAATTATGCTAAGCAATTGTTACGGCTCCAAAACATATTGAATACATTGTCTTTAGGTAACAATGTGGCGGCCGCAGCCCCAGCGCTGGAGCGTCTTGGAGCTGAGGGGCCATTTGATCCTGGTTTTCATGGATCTTACGCCTTCTCTGGCTGTACTGGACCCGCACCAAGATTTTACACCAAGGCTGAAGTGCGACCCAGATACCATGGACCAGCAATTGTGGCGCAACTCATTCCTACTCCAGCTGCACAAAAAGGTTCGTTGTTTTAGATTGTTGATATTTTTCTTTGTGCAGCTGAAAGGCATGTTTTTATTTTGAACCATTACTTCATTGAATTGGTGAACTCTTGATTCCTTTAGGTAAGAGTCGCACTGGCTCAATGGTTAGCGCGCTATTTTGCTCTAGGTTCAAAACTCAGTACTTGGTTTAAAACGCTCGCTGTACCTCATCTCACTTAGGAGTGTGAGCTTTCGTATTCCGCACTCCGATGCCTTACCACTGAGCCACAGAAAACGCCAGGCCATTGCAGCGAAGGTTGCCTTGCACCCACGAATAGATTCCAGTCGTAGAAATCTATATTCCAGTCGTAGAAATCTATATTCCAGTCGTGGAAATCTATATTCTGTCGGAATACCGGTAGTCTGATGGTACACTCTACGGCTCGTTTACGTCGGTTGTATTATACATAGTGACAATGTTTAATCAAAGAAAAATGATACTTGTGTGACATGTATTGCTGTGTTTCTTTAGGAATGGTTCGAGTTGCGATCGTTGCTACAGGAGAAGATGATCCGAAGGGAACAGGCCGAACATCAATCAAAGTCAATGGCATCGAGAGATCGCCCATGCTGCGCGGACACAATATTGTCGTACTGGACAGTGACAGAAACTTTATAGTGGCGGCCAACTTTGACACTGCAGATCCGTCTAAGGGGGAGGGGGTGAAGATGGCAAAGTTCTTACAACAACTTCCCCAGGAGAGGATAGTGCTGATCGGTACTCAGGGGACCACCGGTGAGTATGGTTCGTGGCATCGATGGGTACTTTACAAAAATGTTCTACGACCAATCGTACCCCACTACCGTCAAGGCAAATGATTATTGAAAACTCTATCGCAATTCTCGAACGTGATTGGTTACCAGGTACCTGATCTTAGCACTAATAGGATAGTTGACGCGGTGTGCTTGTAATTGGATTGTGCAAAAGGAAAGTTTTAGGCGCCATGCCGATTGAGTCAGACGGTATGTTCTATTTGCCCTACTGACTATTGAATTAGACATTTTCCTTGGGAAAGTCATCTGTCATGTTTTCATATTTGTGCCTTTAACCGATTGGTGTTTCAGTCTTAAATGCTGTCATAGTTTTGACTCTGCTTGGTCCGGTTACCAATAGAACTCTCATGGTTGTTCTAACTTAATTCAACAGGTACATCAGTAAATGATGCAAAAGAGGCTCTTTATGACATAGGTGCCACAGGCAATGTTCATCCTGGGTTCCACGGCTCTTGGGCCTTCGTGGGCTACACAGGGCCCGAGCACGTTAAATGGGCCAAGAACATAAGCCAACCGCGGTACCAGGGACCTGCAGTTATCGAAGAAATGCTAACCAGTCCGTCAGCAGAGGAAGAGATAAGTAAGATGTTGACCAATAAGAAATTATCTTGTTCATTAGCTGAGGAAGAACTAGACACTGCCGAGGCTGTAGCCTGTTCCAAGGTATAAGTTTGGACATAGGCGAAAGAGCGGGTGAGCGATGAACGGCAGTTGCGGTTTATTAGGACCGCGCTCACATTTTCGAGTGCCCCTCACCCCAGCCCCCACAGGCGAGAGCTTGATACCAGCCACTGAGTGTCAGACTAATAGCAGGATTGCGGGTGTCGTGTTGGCTAAATTAGATTGTTTCGTACTCAGGATCGTCTTGGCCGAGTCATTTGTTGTGTTTTTGGGCGAGACACTTCACTTTCGCTGTGCTTCTCTTTACTCAGCAGTGTAAATGGGTACTGGTGAATTATGAGGGAAATGAGTTGAAATAATGCAGTTTAGAGAGTCGGGGCATATATAGGGGGCGGGGGGATGGTAGTCTTAGAGGCAGCACGTTCCTACGACTCAGCTTATTTTAGGCATTTATTAGAATGAGAAACACTTATTCACCGAAATAAGTGGGATGCTTGGGATAAATGGGATATTAACCTCTCTATAACCGGCTATTAGTGAGATGTGTACCGTGCTCTTGTTGGATTGTCCACAGGCGCCATGGCAGCTGCAGAGTCTGAGTACGAACCGGTGTCTGATTACGAATTTGAGGGAGCAGTGTCTGATTACGAGGCTCGGTCTGAGTTTGACGACACCGAGGATTGGGAGAAGGACAAGAGTATATCAAAGAGGAGTGCTAGGGTAAGAGTTATCTCTGTGCTCTCCCTCTTACCGTAGGGAAGGGATTCGAGTTTCACATGTTGCATGACTACAGCTAAAAGACAGTCGCGCAAGAGGAAATTGGGCTGCTCGAAGACTGTGCGGTATTAGTTTTGTTTAGGACGATGACGGCATCGTGGCAAATTTCTGCGGTTCTAGATTTCCGAAATTTCCTTTGGACCTAATTTGTGCGACTCTCTCTTGCGTATTCAGTATCTACACAAATCTCATAATCATTGTCCGTAATTTGTAACACTAATTCTTGGTTATTTACTATCTTGTCTCCAGTCACTCATGAGAGCTCTGCCAGCAGAAGAAAAAGCTAAGATAGAACAGCTGGCCGAGGGACTGAAACTAGAGAAGAAAAAACTGGAAAGCGAGTTGACCAAATGGGACGAAAGTGGAAATGATATCATTATCCTGGCGAAGAAAATGTGCATGATGATGATGGAGATGTCCGATTTCACGAGGTAGAATGTGTCTTTTAAACTGTTTTTTTTTTTTTTTTTTTTTTTTAACCAGTGACGGACGGAGTCGGAATTTGAGTCGGAAACGACGTTGGAGACGAAGTCACAGGAGCGCTTACAACGTATTGAATATCGGGAATTCGAGTCGTTAGGAGAGCCGTAAGCTCGACGAAATCGAAGTCAGAACGATTCGAACGTGTCGGAATCATCTGATTCTGCAGATGCTCCTGTGAAATCATGAATGCCGTGGTTACAAGCAGAAGCAGAAAAACTAATCAATCAGAATGTCAGTTACGAGGTCCTCTGTGCCTAGCGCGATCCTCAAATTTACTTTAAACCCTTTTGACTCCCATGATGTTAGTAGTAATTTTCCATACTGTCTGCTGTGCAATTCTCATGGTGTTATTTCGGAGAATGTGGTATTGGATCAACTAATAATCCCTAGATTGATATTTTTCTTTATTCTCATGACTTATCTGCGTGGTGGGGAATTGATACAGCAAGGTGAACTTTTGTCTTGATCATTTATGGGAATTAAAGGGTTTAGCGACGAAGTCATGGGTGATATCTGTTTATTACACGACTCGGGCAGTCAGAGGGCCAATAACTAAAATCAACCAATCAAAATGCTCTATTGCCGGTCCAATTTTCTCTAAGCATTGGACCGGGCACTGTCCCGAATGGTCCCGAATGATACCACACTTGTGTCCCTTTGAACTTCAGTCGTATAATAAATCTCTTATTAAGCAAGCTTTCTCAGGACCCTACTGGAAGAATAGCGGCCTTCGGTCCGTACTGTCAAGACTTCGGGCCGATATTCTCCCAGTACGGCCCTCGCGCTTGGTTAATAAGATATATATAATGCTCCATGTTCTGTTGTAGCGATCGTATCACTACGTTACTCGTAGCACCTGCAACTCTGACTCCGTGTTATTAAAAACATCACTATCGTCAGCATGCAATGAAACAATCAGAAACATACCGAAACTGTTTTTGTCATTTTGACTTCAGGGGAACCGGACCGCTGAAAACTACGATGGATGTGATCGATGCTGCTAAGGTTAGGAACAGTGTTTTGGGTGAATTTCAGCGTTTATTGACCATCAGTGATTGTTATATGTGTTGTTCATACTTCAGAGAATTGCCAAAGCTGGAAGGAAGATGAATGAAAAAGCTACAGAAATTGCACAGAAGGTACGTCCTTAACGTAACGGAGGCATCATTACTCAAAAAGGTTTGGCAACGGCAAAAATAGATTTACGGGCTGAAAAGTGATCCAATTTACTTGTTTGGTGTTGAGTACAGTTTGTACCAGGCTGCGAGACACTGGAGACAAGTGGAGTGGGTTAAAAATTGGCGGTAGAGTCGAAATGAAAAAAGCTGTTTCTCTCGATCGATATTTTTGGTTCTTCTGAACTGACTGGAAGCCTAGAACACTAAGGGTATTGACTTTTCTTCATTTGGTCAATATTTCGAATTCTGCTTGTATTTTGCTTAGTGTCCTGATTCAAGTTCAAAGAACGACCTGTTGGCGTACATACAACGCATTGCTCTGTACTCCCATCAGCTGACCATCACTGCCCGAGTGAAAGCTGACGTACAGATGATTAGTGGTGAACTTGTAGTCTCTGGGGTAAGTTCTTCTTTATTATTTCTCTTGATATAATCACAGGTAAAGACGTTGTTATTTCACCAAAAAGTCGAGGGGGGGGGGTGCGGAACTTATGTTCTCATCGCGTGTCAAGCTAAAAGTGGCGATGTTAAAATACGTTCCTTTTTTTTTTCGTGGTGAGGAGGGGATCTTTAAAATTGTACTTTACTTCTGACCAAAGAACGATAAAACCAGAAAGGATTGTGAAAGGTGGAGAACATCAACTCGAATTGCGAATGAAAAACTTTTAAAAAGCAGGCGTAGGTTTTGCATCTGGTCTCACAACGATCTTCTTTTCTTTCAGTTGGACAGTGCTACCTCTCTCATCACAGCTGCCAAAAATCTAATGAACGCTGTTATTTCTACAGTGAAGGCCTCGTATGTTGCTAATACCAAGGTATGGCTATGGTTGTCTTTAATACTTATGTCTTTTCTTTATTTGGCTGAGCTTGTGTTTATTGAGAGTTGGGTCAGCCACAAGAACAGACGAAAAAGCTGCCAGCGTTGTGATCTAGAGGGGCACGATCTCTAACTTTTCAAAGGTGCTTATTAACCCTTTACAGTATAACATCGCATATCGTTTATACTGTTTTCCTTTCCTTACTGTTTTCCTTTCCTTACTGTTTTCCTTTCCTCCCTGTTTTCCTTTCCTCCCTGTTTTCCTTTCCTCACTGTTTTCCTTTCCTTACTATTTTCCTTTCCTTGCTGTTTTTTTCCTTACTGTTTTCCTTTCCTCGCTGTTTTCCTGTCCTTTCCTTACTGTTTTCCTTTCCTTACTGTTTTCCTTTCCTTACTGTTTTCGTTTCCTTGCTGTTTTCAGAATCGTGACTTTAACCCATCCAAAGATTAAGCAACATCATTTTGTGCGTGGAATAACTAAATCTATTTTGCCAAAACATCATGGCACCATTGTAATCTATTTATTTAATCACTTTCACCAGAGTGTGGTGAGGGTCGCACATCAGAGCGAGGCTCCAAATTAAGTGCGCCCTATATCGCACCAATCCCACCCCAGGGGAGGACATCCATCACACTTCTTACCAGTATTTTATTAATTGAAATTTGCCAATTGATGTCACACACATTAATTTCTACTTTTCGTTTCTGGTTTTTACAGCACAAGTCAGGAGATGCAAGGGTAAGAGAGAATTTAATATCTTGATTTTCAGTTTGTTAATCACTTGTTTGAGAAGTAATCGATGAGGAAACCTGGGGCGAGGATTTCGTTGTCAAGTTAGAGATATTGTAAGGGTTTTGTACCTCGAATGGTGCTTGGTTATTCACAACAAGGTTTTTTAACCTCGGAAATTCAAGAATTCGAAGACTCCTTTTCCATAACTTTAAAACCTCGTCCTCTGAAAAATTTCACTTTTCCTTTCACGGAATCTAGGGCTCCAGTCTCACATGGCGCATGCGTGCACCGGAGAAGAAACCGCTGGTTAACCTCGAGAAAGATGACCGTGTGCCACAATTACAGCGTGCCGAGAAAGTAAAACAAGAATCGCCCATTCAAGCTCTCTCTGAATTTGACACTTCGGAGACGAAACGCCAACCCGACTTTTACTAGGCAGTATTATTTCCCAGGAAGGATGAACGACAACACACCTCTAAGCAAAAATTTCTGGGGACCAAAGAATATTTTGATCCTGCTTTGGATATGGTCGTATGATCCTTAAACTTAAAATGCTGTAGGAAACCTCTGTAACCTACTCAAAAGAATTGGAATTTGACGAGTGCGATTGTAAAATTCGAAGCGAATTGACAGACTATTTTTTAGTTTTTTAGATAATAGATAGTGTGAATTAATGTCAGGTTGATGTAGCCTTGTTTAAAGCATGATCTCGTAGAAAATTAGGTGATGAAAGGCTAGATTCTCTCATAATGGTTGTACAAACTTTTGTTAAAACTGCTACAAGGAGCACGTAGTTTGTTAAGGCTTTGTTAGGGTGTAATGTGTTACGTATTGTCTGCGTAACTGCTGACTTTTATAGAATGGAAAATTTATTCCGAGAAAGGAGACTCGTCACAGGCTTCGCAATTTTAAGCAGCTGTCCACAAAATAAAGACGTCATGGTGTCGTTAAGTAACACGATTTCTTAAGAGATCAAAGTTGCCAAGGAAATAACGTCATCGACGTTTCGTAGAAACACGAGGTCATTGTCGATGTCAATCACCCGGCTTATTTAAGTCAAGAGTTTTTCTTTTGATCAGTCTTTGTGAAAAACAATAAGGACTATTTTTGTAATTAGGTAGCGTAGTTCTGAGAATTGCACACAATGTATTTGCCTAAAAAATAAAACAGCACAAATCAAGGGGTCTTCGTCTTTGTTTCATCTTAATTACAGGAGAAATGGAAATGAAATATTACGTAATGATGTTTACTGTTAAGTATGACGTAATGATGTTTACTGTTAAGTATGACGTAATGATGTTTACTGTTAAGTATGACGTAATGATGTTTACTGTTAAGTATGACGTAATGATGGTTACTGTTAAATATGACGTAATGATGTTTACTGTTACATATGACGTAATGATGTTTACTGTTAATCTTCGCGATGCTGACTTGGACGTGATAGACGGTAAGAGTACAAATGCTTTTTACAGATTTCTCGGCCAATGATCTTACACCGTGAGCGGGGACAAAACTGACAATTTTTGTGGCTACTGCCTCTTATCAGCCGCTTTTTTCTATTTTTGGTTCAGTTGGCCAATTTTCAATGTTGGACACTTGTAGCCCATGTTGGGTTTTTGACACTACTCACCGATTTTCGGTTTTGGCCAAAAGTAGCTCCTCGTGGGATTTGGGTTTAGGATTTTCGCTACTTGTAGCCATTTTGGGATTTGGCCACTAGTAGCCGTTTGACGGTGGCCATTAGTGGCCGCTTTCGGATTTTTGCCATTAGAGGCCCTTTTGGGATTTTAGACACTAGTGGCCATTCCGGCATTTTAACCACTAGTGGCCGTTTTAAGATTTTGGCCACTAATGGCCGTTTTAAGATTTTAGCCACTAATGGCCGTTTTAGGATTTTGGCCAGTAGTAGCTGTTGTGGCATTTTGGCCATTAGTGGCCGTTGTGGGATTTTGACCTCCAGTGGCCGTCTTTGGACTTTGGCCATTAGTCGCCGTCTTGGGATTTTGGCCACTAGTGACCGTCTTGGGATTTTGGCTGCTAGTGGCCGTCTTGCATTTTGGCCACTAGTGGCCGTTTTGGCATTTTGGCCACTAGTCGCCGTTTTGGCATTTTGGCCACTAGTCGCCGTTTTGGCATTTTGGCCACTAGTCGCCGTTTTGGGATTTTGGCCACTAGTGGCCGCTTTCGCATTGTGGCCAGTAGTGGCCGTCTTGGGATTTTGGCCAGTAGTGGCCGTCTTGAGATTTTCGCCACTAGTAGCTGTTTTGCCATTTTGGCCACTAGGGGCCGTTTTGGGATTTTGGCCACTAGGGCCCTTTTTTTAGTGGCCGTCTTGGGATTTTGGCCACTAGTGGCCGTTTTGGGGTTTTGGTCACTAGTGTTCGTTTTAGGATTTTGGCCACTTGTGGCCGTTTTGGGATTTTGGCCACTACTGGCCATACGGGGATTTAGGGCATTAGGGGCCGTTCTGGGATTTTGGCGACTAGGGTCCGTCTTGGGATTGTGGCCGTTTTGGCATTTTGGCCACTAGTGGCCGTTTTGGCATTTTGGACACAACTGGCCGTTGTGGGATTTTGACTACTAGTGGCCATTTTGTGATTTTAGCCACTAGTGGTCGTTTTGTGATTTTGGCCACTAGTGGCCGCTTTAGCATTTTGGCCAGTAGTGGCCGTCTTGGGATTTTGGCCACTAGAGGCGGTTTTGGCATTTTGGCCACTAGTGGCCGTTTTGGGATTTTGGCCACTAGGGGCCGTTTGGGGATTTTGACCACTAGGGGCCGTTTTGCGATTTTCGCCACTAGTGGCCGTCTTGTGATTTCGGTCACTAGTGGCTGTTTTGGGATTTTGGCCACTAGGAGCTGTTTTGGGATTTTGGCCACTAGTGGTCTTTTTGGGATTTCGGTCACTAGTGACCGTTTTGGGATTTTGGCCACTAGTGGCTGTTTTGGGATCTTGGCCACTAGTGGCTGTTTCAGGATCTTGGCCACTAGTGGCCATGTTTGGATTTTGGCCACTCGTGGCCGTTTTGGGATTTTGGTCACTAGTGGTCGTTTTGGGATCTTGGCCAGTAGTGGCCATGTTTGGATTTTGGCCACTCGTGGCCGTTTTGGGATTTTGGTCACTAGTGGCCGTTTTGGGATTTTGGCCACTCGTGGCCGTTTTGGGATTTTGGTCACTAGTGGTCGTTTTGGGATCTTGGCCAGTAGTGGTCGTTTTGGGATCTTGGCCAGTAGTGGCCGTGTTTGGATTTTGGCGACTGGTGGCCGTTTTGGGATTTTTTTCTACTAGTGGTCGTTTGGCTACTAGTGGCTGTATTTAATGCAGTCTAAGACTGACAATTTTTTTAATTTTCTTCATGTCCAGCAGTACGTAACAATTGTATTTCATAGATTTTCAACTATTATCCACGAAAATGTACTGTTCCGACGAACGCCTGTTGATTGGCGTGGCGCTGTCCGTAGGGAAGGCCGAACAATGCCGCACGATTTTATTTTTTGATTTTACTAATATATTCAGATAGGTCGTGATAGAAATAGGGTCATTTTTTATTTTTTGTTAAGCGCTCGCAGTTGTCGGACTTATGAGTTTTTCTGTCGCTGTGGTTTCGGTTTTTTTTTTCGTTTAAAACACAATTTCGTCTCGTCGAAACATGTACCATTTACTAAGATAACGAAATGGTGAGTTTCAGAGCAAAAATTGTTACTCAAATGTAACAAGGATATGTAACAGTTTATTAGTAATACGGGCGATACAAAGAACTAGAAGGAATTCTAATTAAAATTTATCAGTGCAAAGCTAACACTCTCCAACTTCGCATTTCATTAATTTTGTGGAGGTAATATTCTACCCAGTCTTAAATTTGTGCCTTACTTTAAGTTAAGCGTCTGAACGTACTTTAAGAGGTAAATCCCTTAGTTGGCGGGATGCGGAGAGGGGAAAGCAACGCAAACATTCAATGATTAAAAAAAAAAATTGTGATTCGCCCTTGTTCTGATAACACCCCACCCTCCCCCGCCTAAGTGGATAACTTCCTTACAAATACTATTGAATACCACTATGATAAGCTGTCTCCTGGGCGCTCAAACAATTTCCCGCGCTTCAGGCAGTGCACATGAAAATACCTGTGATTGGCTCTGTCTGATATTTTCCTTTTTTGATTGGATCTTCTGATTACTTTGATTTTAGTTTTCGATACATTTAAAATGCGCTCCATTTCTTAGCCCGTTTGCCGCGATAGACTGGGTACGGTATCCACTCTCAAGTCGTGATTGGTTTCTATCTCGCACCTGATTGGCAGCAGGGTGACCCGAAATTCTTACACCAATCTTGGAGCGAAACCAACGCGAACGGAGATTACTTTAGACACTCAATTGAACTTTGCTCTTCTAACCGTCCTTCTTATCACTTGTGCAGTTCGGATTAAGCAATAATTTCTAAATAGCGAGTAGTTATGTATAAATATTAACGATTTGCCTAAATTATCACTTCTTCCGTTCTACACAAAGACGATAAAAAAATTCCTAATTTTCAGCTAGTAGTTGTCAGTCACCTTGATATTTCTTGTCTAAATAAACATCTCTTTGTGTTTTCAAGATTGAGGAAAGTCTGTGACATAAATCATCTTGATCCCATAGCGGGAAATACATTCCCTTTGCTAGAAGAAGTGCGTATTTTTTGTATAAAATTCACTACTTTTTTTTTCTAACAATTATTTGAGTTTTCACACTCAAAGTTGTGAATCAAATGACAAGGCCTAAGAAAAATAAGAATGCCGAGGGTTCGATCCAAGATTGTAAACACTCTGATCTCGTTCACAAAACAATTTGGCCGAGACAATTTGCTTGAGTTCTGCTACGTTAAAAAGATTACATGCATCAGTTTATGAAACACTCTTTGTACCTTAGAAAAGACATCACACTATTCTCCATCACCCTTAAGGCTTTGGCAGAATGCCGTAATATTTCAAGAATTGGAGTCTCCGCACGAACCCTGCTTTGGGTTTCGAGTTTTGAAGTAGATGAAATGCCGTAGTTCTAAGACCGGCGTTCATTGCCACTCAGTAAAATCTTTTCCTGGAATCTTCTTGACGTTTCTGGTACACGTAAATAGAAACCCCCACTACACAGACAGCAACAAGAGCAAACCAGAACAGCCAGCTCAAGACCTTTACAGTCTTTGAGGAAAAACTGCCTTGTACGTCCTCCACGCGTTCTAGAGAAGACATAAGAAAGAAAGAAAAAAAAAAAAAAACAGAGTCGTAACATAACTGTTGACTTGATCACTATCCGGGAAATCTCTAGTCTGATATTTAACCTAATTATGCCAAGGTAACAAAAGATATGAAATACTTTCTTTGTGGCGATATTCAAAATTATGATAGACAACTAAAAGATAATTACGAAAGGAGGAATTAAATCTTAACGTAGTATCGCGTCACGCGTCACGCTTGTGCGATGGCACGCATGTCGCGTGAAACGAGTCCACGGAAAGATGACAGATACGTAGGGCGTGATCTTTTGCGATTAATAAAACAAACAAACAAGTGAAACCAACAACAAGATGGACATACAGAACAAAACAAAGGAAATATTAAGGCTACTAAACGTTTCCACATATGTGGTAGGTCTGCACTAGCGTGGAAATGACTTAATGTTGACCACTTAAGAAGTTTTTGCGTTCAATTATATTTACCTCTAAACGGTTCGGCACCAGATGCAAAAGGGACTATCTTGGTTCGATCTTCATCAACCCCTTCAGAATCAGACGACACTGGTATTTCAGTTTCGTAGAACTTCAAGGATATGATGTCGTGGTTGTCTAAAGGAAAAAACAAGATAATTAAAACAACTTTGAATCTGGCCATCCTCAAACATAATATTTGGCTTCATCGACTGGGAGTACGAGTTTCGAGCTTTAGCCCTTCGTAAGAGGGGACAATGTCACTCCCTAAAAAAGACGCGAGATATTCAAGTCGTGTTGTAAGGACAACTCGAGGTTTACTCCAGCTCAGTAAAATACATATTCTCCTAACTTAGCTTTGTCAACGGGTGATAAATTGTACAGTACCGCTCAAAAGTAAGTTACGACCATCTCGAGAGACGCATCTCGCGAGAAACGAGACACGTCTCGTTTCATCAGTTCGAGTACGTAAGTACATAAGATTTATCAATAAATACCTGCTAGTTGGCCTGTTGCTGCTGTTGTTCCAAAATACAATCCAGTAGGCAGCTTCACACCACTCACATCTACACAATCCTCCCATTCATTCTTGTTGTCTACATCAACCAGTATCTATTCATTCAATGACAAAAAAATGTCACTGACTTCAAAATTGTTCTCATCACTGTTTGTCAGAACGTCTTTGAGTGTGAGGATGAGTTGATGAAATGGTCACTCAGTGCCGAAGTCGTGGGCAATTTGTTTTTCACGAGGGAGGGGAGGGTGGGAGAGGGGCAAGCCTGGGAGACAAATCTCACCCAAACCTTTTTTGAAATTAGAATGTTCTGAAATTTCCTATAACGCCCTCTCTGGCATTTTTCAATCTAAAATTCATGATAATCAGAAGTGAATTAAAGAGAACTTAAAGTGCAGGATCACAGAATTCATAGGAAGGTTTTTAATATCCCGAACCACCCTCTTAGAGCAAATTTCCACGAGACCAAGACTACAAGATACAACTTAAGGAATAAATCTTACGCTATGCCAACCATTCACACGGACCGTTTTAAGAATACATTTTTCAGTAGAATTATTTTAAAGTATAATGTAGTTCCATAAATAGTGTACATTTTCCAGTTCATTTTTTGCATTTATATCCATTTATATAAGAATCTTATTTAGAGGCATACTTATGAAAACAGCCCCCTATTACTGCTATATTTCAATGTAACATAAGATATTTAATTTTATCTTTTGAGCAATAGAGACATTATTATTATTATTATTATTATTATTATTATAATTATAATTATTATTATTGTTGTCTCATCCTCTACACTTCTTACGATTTTAGGCTAGAAAATTGGTTTAAAATCAAAGAATAATCCTCTACTTGATATTGACTGTCTGGTTGATATTGTATCAATATTGTACGGAAAAATTCTGTCTTAGTCACTCGCGGGAGTGAAAGTGCACTTTCCCCAATCTAGGGGCAAGTATTAAAAGTGTTAGCCAATTCGACTAGGTAATACATGGTCAGCTGTTATAATTACACTTTTACCCCTTCAAAGTGATACAATTAATCACAAGTTTTTTTGGATAGTTGTCAACTTACTGTCAGACGATTCTGTGTTCCAGAATAACGGATCAGTGCATAGGTATCATGTCCTCTCCCACGAAAACTTTGCTGCAGTATAAACAAATAGATTGTAGTGTGGGTACACCAAACACTCCTATCAACCAGTGTGAACTAAGAATCACACATTCCTGGAGTGATAAATAATGGTAATTGAACTGAGTGGAGTGCAATTAGGCTGAAATCATACGCATGATTTAAAAATCGAACGAGTGCACACTGCACAGTGCAAGTTTGATTTGAAATCACGCGTATGATTTCAGACCAAAATTGCACGACACGAGGTGCAATTACAACTTAATTACATCCATTTTGAAATCTCCCAAATACAGGGCTTGGTCAATTCAAATATTTTATTGATGCAATACTGAGCTGGTGTTTAAATAAAAAGTGGAACTGGAAATGCATCTACATCTTATTTTGCATGCAAAACAGAAAGACTTTGACGTCATGTGTCAAAAATTCAGTCAAGTGTAAAATGATAAGATTTAGAGCAAAAAATGGTGCGATTTGTGAATAAATCCCACCCATTAGAGCCAATCAGATTACAGGGATGACCAGTGATTTCAAAATGGACGTAATAAATAAAGAAAACTATAGAACTAAGATAGCAAATAAATCTTCTTTAGAATCATGGTCCTACAGTTGTCCAAAGAATACGAATTTTTAAGAGACAGTTTTTACATGTAATTCAGAGTGAACATAAGTAACTACTATTCACTGGGGATTACACACAAAAAATCATCCATTCTTTCCATTTTCTCTGTATATAATACTGTTACATGACTGTATATAATATCACACATGACTATTTTGTTCTCAAAATCTTAGTATCAGTTCTCTATATACTGTCTACCATAGATTGTACATCTCTGGTACAAAGTCAAACAATATTTCTTTATCAATGTTTTTTCTTTTTTATTATTACCACACTGCTTGAAAATGTACCAATACTGTCAGGAGAGATTCTCTGAACTAATGATACTTTTTTCGAACAAAAAATTATAGTAAATGCAGGGCTCAATGCTAACTTTTCAACTTACTAGCCAAGTGGCTAGTGACATCTTAGATGTTATGACAATTTCAGTTTGTTCACTAGCCAAACTGGCCAGTGGAAATTGAAAACCACTAGCCAAAACTGAATTTCTACCAGTCTGTGGCTAGTGGGCTACCATTAGTGTCGAGCCCTGAAATGTATGTACTTCATTTAAACCACAAGTAGTTTGACTGATCAGTTTTCTTATCCTAGACTTCTGCTCAAGTTGTTGACACTTCTAGCCCATGCCAGGTTCACAGTCAATGGAATAGGCTGAAAACACAACAGAGTGAAACCTTCTCCTGCCTTCTTCTTTCTCCTATTCACCCCGATTTTTTGCCTACCAGCACAAACTTACTGCCTGGAACAAGCTAGAAGTGCCACTCCATGTAACTGACAGAATTTCTGTTCTAGACTATTATCCCTCAATCAAATATTACTACTAACTTCAAACCTTATTAACAAAAATAATAACAATGCACAAGGTTTCTCTCTGTCCATGTACTCACAGAGCAGCCAGCCACTTGACTGTGTGTTCCGTCCCGATCGTGATCATAGTGAAGAGATCCATTTCCAACCATTACAGAAATGAAAGGGTGATCGTGCTATTCAAAAAATTATACATACTTCACCGATCAGATCATCAAAAAGGGTGCAAAATGTGTTACAACACAACCTACAGAGTTCTGTCAAAATTAAATGATCACAGAACAAAGTTCACTCACCTGGTGTTCACCATTGTGGTTACTATAGGTGTCAAAGAACACTCCAAGACCATAAAAATAGTCCTTGCTACCAAATACATCACCTGAGAAGAAAAAAAGGGAGAGATGACACAAGAAAATATCATGGTTGAAAAGTGGAGGATTCTGGGGCAATCTCATAATTTTAATACTTTTTTTTAAATCTATATACAATTTAACAGATGAGTCATTACCTTCTTGCATCCTGTCTTTGGAATACCAAAATGCAAATCCATCTCCAAATAATGTATCACCAACTCCATGTACTTTAAAATGAACTAACATTTCCCAGTCTTTGACGTGACAGGGCTGGTAAAAGAGAAGAGTTACAATATTATTTCAGATTACCATGAACTCAGTTTTGGGATAACAAACCAGCAAGAGATGGGAAAAGCTACATAACAATTAGGGGAAACTCTTACCACTTAGGGCCATAGTGGTTTAACGGGGTTACGTTTCTACAAAAATATGCCAAATTTTGTAAAATACACAAAAACAGGTCCCTTGACACAGAGGAGGCAAAATACAACACTAAAATGTTGATACCCATCTGCCCACTTTCATTTGATCCCATGCAAGAAAAACAGTGTGGAGTGGCCTTACAAAATCCTTCACTTTGGGCAATGCTGGCAATGCTGGCAATGAAGTCACCAAAAGCAGAAGAAAAACAAAGAAAACATAAATGACTCTAGTGGTTTATTGTGCTACAAATTAACATAGTTGGCCTTCTTTCCCAGCTATTGAAATAAAAAGTCATTCTTGATTCTTATTAAAGCCATATCTTCTTGTTATATAATAAATCCTTTGTAGACCAAGCTTGTTGGTCAAGATGACTGGATATTAGCCTTGTTCTTTTTTTTAATTTTGCAGACCTCAACTTTGTGTCATTTCATAAAAACAAAAAAAGAAGAACTTGGTCAATATCCAAACATCTTGACCTCATGCTTAGTCAATAACACATATTAAGTATTCCTGTTGCTATAACCAGAAATGAAACTGTAAACACAAGTAGAACTTAATTTGATCAACCTACCACATTATTCCACAATCCCCCTTTCTTGCTCTGATGGTCAGGTGTTAATCTAATGTAGTTGGTGGAAACAAATGTACTTCCAAGGAAATCCCAGTAAGGAATAGAAGGACCAGCACCTGCAGAAATGATTGTCATCATCTTTAATCAGTCTCTTTTCACTCAACAAACCAGCTTATTTGTAGTTAAGAACAACAGCTACATGCAAGTCATGAGCTGCTGAATAGAATGTCTTTGAAGATCATGGAATTTGTATTCTGATCCCGAGGAGGTCATGAGAAAAACAAGTCGTTTTAGTACCCTTTTTCACCATTCATAGAAGTGTATCACAATTTTAACCTCTCCCTATAATAATTTATCCACTAATTATCTGGCAAACAGGTATGAGAATACTCAAACTTGTGAGCTAGAAGTTATCTTCTCTAACACCAAATTTTCATGAATAATTTACAGAAAAATGTGTAGTAACTAGAGGAGAGAATCAACAATCAGATCTTGGGAGATAATGAGTTAATACCTATTCAACAAGTTAAGGAACTTGTTTGTTATTGAGATAAAGGGATTTGATAGAAGGTGGTTTTCGGCTGTGTTCCAAATGGTCAAATTGTAAGGGAATCAAAAACAATTTTTGCAGTATATCAAAAGAACTCTTGCTCTCAAAGAATCACGGTGGAAGTATATTTAGATGTTACAGCAATATTTTTACATATGGCCTCTTTTAAATATAAATCTTTCCTTCATAAAAAAATGCTAAAGATAAAATGTTTCTAGTATTCAAAGTGGATTGTGAACAAAATACCAATTATTTTGAGCTTTATTTACGCTGAAAATCTCTAGCATGGTGGCACGATTCTCTTGCATAAAATAGCAGTAGTTATGGTAACTTAACTAAGAATGGAAAACTCTTAAAGTCGTTTTAAAGATAATTAATCATTTATGCCCAATGAAAGGACCAACGATTCATCTTTCTGTGACAAAACTTTAAGAACGCATAGACACAAAAACCAGGTAGGAGGAAAGAAGGAAGCTTGTTAAAAATCGATCTGTGGAGGTCCTCACAAGTGCATGAACGAACGCGTGCACGTCACATGCATGAGACCTTGGCACTGATTGTAATATTTGTAGTTGTTGATTTTCAAAAATAAATGTATTGAAATCCATTACATTTTCATTAACTAAGGATGTAAAATTAAGGTTTGGAACAAAGGAGAGAACAAAAGATACTTCGTAGGAGAAGGATCGAACTCTTAGGAAACTAAGATCGACAGGAAATAGAATCAAGAAAATTATGCGAATTCATCAAATCTTTCACACAAGTTACCTAAGTGCCAACGAAAGGTTTGAGGAAAAATCAATTGACACCATTTCAAACTCACCCTTAAAAACGGAATGCTCTCTACGAAGGTATCCTTTAGTTTCGCCTTCGGCTAAAACTCTCGAAAGAAACAGGAGAAATACGGAGAGAAGAGTGTTCAAGTACTCCATTGCTAAAAGCATTCTCTAACGTTACGCTGCAGTCTCGCTTTAATGAGACAGGAATAATTATTTCTATGGTAGGGTAAGTGGGCTTGTCTTCTTTAAAGTAAATTTAGATTTTCTATCTTTTTTTTCATAGCTTGAATAGCTTTTTTATCGTTTTTAAGTACTTAAGTTTCTTAGGGTCAGATGTTTTAAAATCTCTACCGTCAAAATAAAGTTTCATTAAATGCTCATAACATACCACCCCTCCCTCAATAAAGACGAAAAAGGAAGTGACGTCGCCATACCTGCGACACGATAATATACAAGTCTCGAAGAGCATCATGGGGACGGAAAACAAGATGGCGACCAAAACTGAAGATGGACAGAAAAAGAGTCGGCTAGATTGGCGTAAAGAAAAAGAGTTAGAGGAAGCGAGAAAGGCTGGTACAGCACCAGCGTTGACAGACGAGGAAGGAAAGTAAGTTCTTTTTAGTAATTGTAGTATTTTGTTAACTTGGTACTAGAGTCGATCGAAATGTAAGATACATATAAAGGTGTGCATGTGTACGATTCGAATGACTGTACTTCCTTTCCTGTTTTAAGGTTAGAATAGTATGAAAGTTTTGATTCATAATTTGACGTAGCCACGAATGTTTTTTTTTTTTCACGTCAGTACGCACGGTATCTAGACAACTCGCCCCTACGACAGTTAGCCCCAGACAACTCGCCCCCGATCTTCAGACAACTAGCCCCCGATCTTCAGACAACTGGCCTCAAATATGAAAACACCTATATTACGTTGGAAAAATATGTTTTTGTGCTCATAAAGTAATAATTTCTTGAAATAAGAAGAAAGTTTGTTTTTTGAAGTTGCTGAAGAGAAACAGATCTAACTGTTTGTTGTTTTTTTGTTTTGAAGCTTTCTGTACTATAAAAAACAAACTTTCATCTTCTGTCAAGAAATTGTTACTTTATGAGTTTAAAAATATATTTGTCTAACATAACATAAGGGTTTCCATATTGAGGGCCAGTTGTGTGAAGATTGGGGGTGAGTTGTCTGGGGCTAATTGTCCAGGGGGCAAGTTGTCTGACATTCGTAAGCACACAGCTTAATTTAAACCTTAACATTTCACATACGATATAGCTTATGTTTATTTTGACTCATAATTGACCTGGTATAACTAAATGATGGGTGACTCCAAACGTATGTAACTGAAGCTGTCTAAGTATTGGTCAATTTGCCATACTTTACTTTTCTATAGGTTACTAGGCTCAGTTATGCAGGTATTTTCCATCAAGGACTGCTGACAAGATGGTTCTTTGAGACCTTGTGCTCTATATTTGCTCCATATTTTGTTGCTTTCTTGTTCTGGATATTCTTGATTTCACTTTCCTAAAAAATGGGATTTATTTTATCTCCCAGTTAGTACATGAGTTATGATTAATCAATTTAAAAGTTTGTTTAGAAGTTGAAATCCTTTCCCTTAGATTTATGGCCCTCATGCTTTGCACCGGGGCTGTAAATCCAGGTGGAAAAACGTGGTCCATAACTTATAATTACATTACAGACCTCAACTGTGGTAATAAGAAGTATGTTTTTTTTGGCTCACTCTTTAGGGATATCAATCCTCACATTCCACAGTACATCTCACAAGCTCCTTGGTATTATGGTACTTCAAGGTAAGGACCAAGATAAATTATAACATAGCTTGTAAATTTGTGCAATCAAATTTAATAGTGCAATTTTCCATTGTGCACGCTGGTGACGTCAGCAAACAACTGCCTCACAAAAAATTTTTTTCTTGCAAGTGACTTCAGCATTATTCATTAAAAAACAGGAAAAACTTCTGCAAAAAAGTTAAACAAGACATGGCAACAAGTGAACAAGCTGATAAAGATCTGCCTACTTTTTCTTTGGGAATGGATTTTTTAACTCCCGAGAAAGAATCCAGAGAAAGGGAAAACAAAACAATCAACAGTTTCGTCTCATTTTGGAACTCTAACTTTATTTCGACGCATGAATTCACCTGTCAGTTTTTGACCAATCTGAGACAAGATCATTGAAACATAGGGAAACACTTTTCCGAAACAAAATAAAAAACGCATTGAAGCGTAGGAGAGGGAATTTCTGCCCTTTATACATAAACTACAGTATTGAAAAGGTTATAAAACAATTGGTTCAAACATCAGCTGTGCGTTCATCGAGATATGAAGCACTTGGGAAGTTTGGAGAGCACTCAAGAAGCTAGAGTTGCCCTCGGCTACACCTCGAGCAACTCTTATGCATCTTTCATGCACTTCAAACTTCCTGCGTGCTTCATATCTCGATGAATGCATGCTGACCTATGAACCAATTGTTAATTAAATAATTTGATTATATCAACAAAGCTTAAATGGTAAATTGGCCACTGTTACGATTATAAAAGCTGATGTTTGGAGTGTATGCCCTTCGTCGGAATGAATAGAGGAATTGTTGGTTGTGTGTGCTTTTAAAGGCAGAAAAAGGAGCTACATGATTGGTGGGAACATGGCAACGAGAAAAACACGAATAAATTAGTGGAATGAAAAGCGTTCATTGATACCTTTTATAATCGTAACGGTGGCCAATTTACCATTTCAAAGTTGTTGATATATTCAAATTATTTCGTTACCCCCACCGACACAGCCCCAAACAGTTTCTTTAGAAACTATCAGCCTTTATTCTTTTTCATAGAGCTCTTTCAATTCACTCTAACTCTTGTGACATTTGAACGGCACTTAGCCAACAAACTAAATTTGCTGACCCTCAATTTACTTGGCGCTTTTCTTGACACTTGCTACAGNNNNGTCAGCTTTTATAATCATAACGGTAGCCAATTTACCATTTCAACTTTGTTGATATATTCAAATTATTTCGTTACCCCCACTGACGCAGCCCCAAACAGTTTCTTTAGAAACTATCAGCCTTTATTCAATTGTTAATTAATTGTCATTACTACTTCCAGGATATGCAATGGTCAGTTAGTTTACTTATTGTTACATTTACATCAAGGGTATTATTTTCTTTACTGAAAAATTTATGGCCATCCAGATAAGCCAATTTTTAACCCTCATCCAATATTTCTGCAAAGTCTGCTGAATTGCTGTAATTTATTTCATTTTTTAGACCAACATTAAAGCATCAACGACCACAAGAGGAAAAGCAAAAGCAATTTTCAGCTATAAATGAGTGGTATAAAAGAGGAACTGACGTAGTAAGTGTTGCAAATCTTTTAAAGATGCAGAAATTAATTTGACTTTGATCTCAGTGGCTGAGACATATTTGAATATTTTTAGATACCAGCAGCTACTAAGTTTAGGAAGGGAGCCTGTCAAAACTGTGGAGCCATGACTCATAAAAAGAAAGACTGTCTTGAGGTATGCACTTTGTGCAAAACATTTCATTTTTATTTACAAAATGTGTAATTAGGTATTAAGGTAAACCCTTTTATGCTCGATTCATAGTAGAACCTTTTTTACTTAACATTTAAACCTCTAGGATTGACTCACATTTAATCAAACACTAAGGTTAGGATAATAATTACCAACTGAAGCAGCTCTTGATTGTTAAACAAATTCTCCATGCCAGTGCCTTAGGAAATGTTAAGAGAACAGTATGGAGAATATGCTTACCGATGTTACGGTATAAAGGGATAGACTACCGTCTCAAAGGTGTATGAAATGAATTCAGGTAATGTAGAGTTTGCGTAAACTAACTTCCAGTAATTCTCTGAAGTTAAAATAACTAAGTTCAAGTTTACCAAGGAGTTTTAGGTCATTGAGTTTGGGTCAGTGAAGTTCTACTGTAACATTTAACAGAAAAGTCTGTTCACAGATTCGTTCAATTGGCTGAAATTAGAAGCTTTTCAAGTTTATTAGTTCTTCTGACAAAAAAGAATTATCAATCTGTTTTTCTGTCAGAGACCCAGAAGAGTTGGTGCTCAGTTCAGTGGAGAGGATATTAAAGCCGATGAACACATACAGCCTCAGCTTTCCTTTGATTATGATGGTAAAAGAGACAGGTAAAACTGCATTTCCTTGTGATTTTTTTTTTATTTTTCCTTATACAATTTATTTTTTATTTTTCTCCTTTGTCCTGCTTCATCAGAAACCAGTTCCTCTTCTGTAAGTTAACAACTTAGGGCTTGACACTAATGGTAGCCAACTAGCCACAGACTAGTAGAAATTCAGTTTTGGTTAGTTGTTTTCCACTAGCCAGATTGGCTAGTGAACAAACTGAAACTTTTGTAACATGCAAGTTGTCACTAGCCACTTTCTGGCTTATAAGTTGAAAAGTTAGTGTCGTGCCCTGAACTTATCTATACTTTCTTTTCTTGACATCAAAACTAATTTAAAAAACATTTTCAAATACATCATTCATTAGTTGCATTTTGTCCATTACTTGCTCAATTTCAAGTGGAATTTCACTCCTATCAGTTTCATCACCTTTACCAGCGTGCAACTAATTAGAATTCTCCTTTGTATTTAGATGGAATGGCTACAATGTTGAGGACTACAGGAAAGTTGTTGATGAATACACAAAATTAGAAATGGTTGGTTTTCACTAAATGTATTCTCAGTCAAATATGCTCTGTTAGTTTTAATGTCATTCCATATGAAAGCACTGCACATGATCCATATTGTGTATTTCTCCTGTAACTAACATGCACATTTTAAAAAAATAATACTAACAGCTTTTTGTCTACAATTGGAGCTGATTAGGGAGGTAAATTTTCATTTTCTTGCAAACATGTACAATGACCTTCTGTATCATTTTTTTCCTCTTCCTTGGAATTGAACAATGACTTCTTTTGTAAAGTAAATACAAACCAATTGTCAGTTTAGAAAAGAAGCAATTTTTGGAAATACAAATAGAGCTTGTAAGATATGATGGGAATTATTTGGATATCTGCAAGGTGCTGCAGCTGTTCCTACACACAGGCACCTCTTATATTTTTTTATTTCAAATTCTATGTTCCTACAAGATAAACAAGCATTATACATTTGGTAAATTTTGATAAAAATCCCAGGGTGGTTGCAATCAATAGAAGTTAATGAAAAAAGATGAATTAAAAAAAAATAACAGTCATTTAACATTTTTGTCTTCAGGCCAAACAGCATTTAAAAGCAGAGAGATTGGAGGAGGAACTAGCAGAAGGAAAAAAACCTGAAGTTATGGTAAAATCATGTTCAAATTTTAAAGTTGACGATTGAAGGAACCCTAAATATGTAAAAATATTTGCAGGATTGTATTCATTTCCAATTTTGTGGAATTTTTTCACAGGATGACCCAGACAGTGAAGATGAAGACAAGTATGCAGACCGGGCTGATATGCCGGGACAAAAATTTGATACTAAAAGGTGAGCTTTCACCTAGTGTGTTGTGTATGAATCAGTAGCATGATGCTGCTTTGATACTAACTGCTAAATACTGGACATGTGTGACAAAAGCCCTTCTAAAACTCCCTCAATTTTTGAGAAACAATTTCCATTGATCTGTGCTGTTTTGCAATTAAGTCTGATACCTGATAAGTTTGAGTATTCTCATTACCTGTTTGTTAGAGAGTGTATAGATAAATGAAGAAGTGTCAATTTGATAATCACTTCATAGAGTTAAATTGTTAAGCGGATTGCCAGCCAGTCAGTCAGGTGTAGTAGCATTACATTTCCAATTCATTTTTCTTTGAATTGAGAATCTATAGGGTGTGTTATATTTACAATGCATACATTGTTTCAATCTATCCGTCTTCAGGCGAACAACAGTCAGGAACTTAAGAATCCGTGAAGACACTGCAAAGGTATGTGATTCTATAGTATGTTGTGTTTCAATTTTTTTTTTTTTGGGGGGGGGGGGTTAAAACTTTTTAAAATAGTTGGTTCCTTTTTTGTGTGTGTTGTCTTCTGTATCACAATGTAATATATAAAGAAAAATAAAAATCAAACATGTTTGAATAACTTTAAATCAAGGACATTTGCAAAGGAATATTGCAAAGAAAAATTAAGACCACAACATACCCTTGTTGAGTTTAGTTTATATATTCAATGATAACTTGCTATGCAAACTCTTGATTCCGAAAATAATTAGACAAGTCCTTTCTTTTAATTTTGATTAGTATTTATACAACCTGGACCCCAATTCAGCGTACTATGATCCAAAGACAAGATCAATGAGAGAAAACCCTTTCAAGGAAACAGATGCAACTGCAAACAAGTAAGGATTGAATGTCATTTGGTATTTTCTACGAGAGAATTTTTTACATGATGGTATGAGGCATTTTTCCTGCTAGGTATGATATGGAAAAGTATAATTATATGGTTTTAACTTTTAACCTTTTCTTTCTTAATATCTCGTTAGTAATTAATTCTTCTTATTGTCTGCCATACAATTTTCGTTTTGTTACTTTTGAGAATTTGGTTTTGGATCAAATGGTAATCTCCCAGTTAACATTGCCTTGTCTCCACTTAAGATTGTTAGTATTCATTTGATATTTTTAGGAGAAATTCTCTCTTGGTCAATCATGAAAGTTAAAGAGTTACTTGAACTTTGATGTTCACATATCCTAGAGCACTGATTGGTGCCAGCCTGCCATGAAATTAAATTGTTTGACCAAAGTTTGTTGGAAAGCTATAATTTTTAAATAAAATATAGGATGATCTGAAGTTATTTCCTTTCGTAGTGTCACCTACTCTGGGGATAACTTTGTTCGATTTTCTGGAGACACACAGAAGATGGCTCAAACACAGTGTAAGTCTGTTTATTTGTAGGTTCCATGTACTTAAAATAAAAAGAGATCTTGGCATGCCTAATTCCTTGCATTCGGTTTTGCTTACCAGTATTTGCTTGGGAGGCTTACGAGAAGGGAGCTGATGTCCACCTTCAGGCAGATCCCACCAAACTTGAGCTGTTACACCAAGAGTACAAAGTAAAGAAAGGGGACTTTGAGCAAGACAAGAAGATAACAGTACTGGAGAAGGTAATGGCCTGTTGGGAACAGTGGTGTGTTGGAGAGGTCTTAACTTCTTCACAAGGTTAACTTAATCCTTAAATTACATAACATATTACTAAAATTAGTACAATTAACATTGATAGTGTTAGTTACATTATTGTCAGTGTAAAAACTAAAAAAATGGTGTGAAATAAATTTGTTTTTCTCCACAGTATGGAGGTGAAGAACACTTGAATGCTCCACCTAAAGATTTGTTGTTGGCTCAAACTGTAAGTGTTTTCAGCATTAACAGCCCAGTGTAGTTTGCAGTGTTTCTAGTTGCAAGATACATTATGATCAATTCTTTGAAAGATTTCAAAAAACATTTTATGTTTTCTCACTCAACTGTTTGAAAATTATTCATTATTTCCAGGAGCATTATGTTGAATACTCGAGGACTGGAAAGGTCATTAAAGGTAACACAGCTGTATATAATTCATTCTTCTTATAGAGCAGTTTGCCTTTGAGGGTCAAAGGTAACCCAGGATTACATTGGTTTGGTTTTCTTTGTTCTGTGAACTTGTACCCCTCTCTCAACCAATCAATTATTGTGTTCAAAATTGTTGCGTGCAGGTCAAGAGAAGGCAGTTGCAAAATCAAAATATGAAGAGGATGTGTACACAAACAATCACACAGTAAGAGTTTTGAACATGAAAATTATAGTATGATATTGATTTAGTGTTTTATTCTTTGGAAATCTTTATTATTCTCACTGATAATCATTTATTGATTGGAAATGTTGTTTACCGACCACATCAGTGTGTATTACCAAGCTTGTTTTTGATTTTGATTAATTTTGTATTGTTTTGTTTGTTTGTTTTTGTTTTCTCAGTCCAAGTCTGCCTTTCTTTTCAGAGTGTTTGGGGTTCATACTGGCAGGAAGGAAGATGGGGCTATGCTTGTTGTCATTCATTTGTCAGAAATTCCTATTGCACTGGTGAATCTGGTAAAGCTTCATCTGCGACAAAGGTATGATGAAAAGTTTAATTCAGTCTGGAGAGGGCAGAACAAGCCACATGTACATATAATTATGGGTATTTGAGTTTGTAGCCAGTACACAGTATACTACCAATTTGTTGAATTAACATGTATAATTATGTTGCAGGTAAAAATTAAATTCAGGTAGTAAAAATTTAACCTAGGTTGAATTTCAATTCTCTTTGTCTCCAAGCCCTAATTGTGAATAATTAGGGCTCGGAGACAAAGGGAATTGAAATTCAACCTAGGTTAAAATTTTTTTACCTGAATTTAATTTTTACCTGCAACATATATCTAAATTCACCTGCTTTCCATAGAATAACCCACCTCTTACAAGTGCAGCTAGAATGATTCAAGAAGCAGAAGAAAATGGGAAAACATTACTTGAGGTTAGTAGAAATTTCACCAGGAACCCTACACCCCACCTAGTGTGGAAGCTAATTTTCCTTCAATCTGTTTCTGTTGAGTCATATGGAAAAGAAAAACCTGTGTCAAAGGCTGCAGGATTCTTGGTTTAAATCTAAGTACTGTTCATGGCTCCTGTTGCATCTATAACTTAAGAATCCAAATGCTATCTATAAAGGGGGCTGCTGCTGTTGTAATGATTTGAAAATTGTCTTCAAATGTGCATTAAATTTGATTTACAGATGCCACCATTTCAAAGCAGCTTAGTAACTTGGCTGCAAAACCATAACATGCAGTTCACAATCAGCTGTTGCTCTGGTTAATCATTGTCACAGGCAAGAAATCCTGTCTGAAAATAAATGTTTGAAATATTATAATACCTCTTCAATGATGAACAAGACTATCACCTTTACTGACTGTCCAGTAAGTGACACGTATTCTGGATCAATGTGAGGTGTCCCTTGGCATACAATCAAGGACATTAAGGAATTATATGGAGAAGGAAATTTACTGTGTAATGTTATGGTAATAGATGTAAAAAGATATCACATCTTTTTCTGTAGCTGACATTCTTAAAATTGATATGAATTCCTGAATTTTAGCTTCATCAAGAAAATCGTAAGAAAGGCAAGAAAAGAGAAAAGTCAGTTGACGAAGAAGATGAGGAAGATAAAAAGGAAAAGCTTAACAAGGTTTGTTAACAGTGGGGCACTTTGTTCATTGGGTTGTAAACATGGTAATTAAATTTTCCGAACACTTGACAAGTTTAGTTCCTTTGACAAAGTCTGATATTCAATGCAGCATAGGAATAATTGGACACCCTTTAGGGGTTTTCAACCTAGTGTTAAAATGATTTTGAGATTTTGTCATCATGATGGTATCTTTTTAGGGTTGTATAACACATCTAAACAGTATAGATAAGATAAGATAAAACTTTATTAACGTGTTTGGTAGATCTAGCTTACATTTACATAACTAAACTAATTGTGGACACCTAACTAATAGTGAATTAAAAGTTAAGAATTATGATAAAAATCCTAAATCCTATAAGTCCCTCACTGTAGGATGCTTAATTAACTAACTGTATAGTGTACAATTTTTACAATTATCTTCCATCATTTCAACTAGGTCTAATTTACTGATTTTCGTTTTAATTGTATTTAAAGATTTTGAGTTTCTGACTTTTGTTTCTAATCTTGACCAGAGAAATTGTTAATTACTTAGCAGCAAGTATTCATTGAAATTAATTTTAGGTTTTATCAATTGAGTTGATGATGTAAATTAGCCATCGTAGAGAGTTCAAAGCTGACGTCTTGAGCATTAGCCCTCTGTCAGAGCTCTGACAAAGGGCTAATGCTTTGAAATGATAGCTTTGAAACTCTTTATGGTGGCCAATTTACATTGTAAATCTTTCCTTTTCCAGGCACTAAGAAAAGAGGAGCGCAGCCAGAAAGAAGCAGACAGACTACTTGCCATGGATGAACGGAAGAGACCATATAACTCCCTCAAAGGTGATTACCATGAGGTTACTGAGGAGGAGATGGAAGCGTATCGCATGAAACGTCGCCAGGAAGATGATCCAATGAAAGACTTTCTTTGACCTACATTCATTTGCAAGAAACAGGGGTGCTATAGAAAGGGTTAACCTGTGACATGATATCTTCCAAACAAAAGACTGTCAAATTCTTCTTGACTCAAACAGACAATGGGTGTCATCTTGCAACAGCAGTTACAGTGTGTAGTCAAAGGGAGAGTTCACCACTTGGATAGATCAACCTTGATCATGCAATTCCTTCACTTTTCTGCTGTTTAATTACAAGAAATAATGGTGAGATTTTACACTATTACTCAGACTGAAAGGTAGAAATTACAAGATATAGAAGAGACCTGTCAGATTTACTTCCAGGATAGACTGTTCACTGCTCTGGAGAGAACAGAATGACCTGTGTTGCTTTGTGCGAAGATTTACATAGCTGGGAACAGAACTTCATGGTGTGGTACTTAAAGAATTGTACAGACTGAGACACCTGAAACTAAAGTCTAGTGATGATACCTGATGAGCATGTATGCAGCTCTCACAGGAAACAAAGAGACAAGAGAACATTTTTGTTCATCCTAAATTTGTTCTCTCAGACTGACAAAAACACCACTGTTAATAAACATTATTTCCAAGGTCTAACAAAATGCACCTGATCTTTCCCTCGGTTTGAATAATGTGGCTCTATAAGAATCAATAAACAAACTGGTGAGAAGTGTGTTTGTCGTAATATGGTAAGTTGTAATTCAGGCTAAAAATTTAAGTAATGATGACAGCCAAAGCCAAGTTCTCCCAGGGGCCAAAGAGAAATTGGAAGTGTAAAAACATGTAATCAACTTTACATGTGGGAAATCATGTGTTTGGGTAATTAGTTCAGGACTACATTTAGTTTTTCATCTGTTGAGGTTAGGTCTCAGTTCTGTACTCGATCCAAGTTTCGATAGCATGCAACTAGGAGTTTACTACTCCTCTTGGGAAGAGATGCCTTTCCACTGAAAGGTTTCATCAGGCTTCCCTGATGACAATTTGGTGGTGGCCATTTATACTCCTGTGGAAAGGGGCACTGTTTGAGTAGAGTGTTTTAACCAAGAACACAAGGCAGTGACTCAGGAGGGTCTCAAACCACACTTGCCATTAGCCTCCATGTCTACCACCTGACTGGTTTAGAGGGTGGAACAGGTTTTGTGACCAATCATAAAGCTTATTGGAGCAAAATCTTCAATCTGTCACTCCCAAGATCCATTTAGTAACTCTCCTTACTGTCTGCTCTACAGTTCTTGTTTAGCAAATTGGAGAATTTGGTATTGGATCAACTAATAATCCTCTAATTGATATTTTATTTATTCTCATCACTTTTCTGCTTGATGTTGTAAGAATAATGTAAGGAGAAAATCTGTCTTGGTCACCCATGGGAGTTAGAGGGTTAAGTTTGCAATCCTAGATCACTCTCAGCTCTTAAAAGAAGATTGCTCTTAATAACTAGTTTTTTTTTTACACAAGAGAAAGGATTTAATTCAAATACAACATGATTTCTATCCACAATCTTTATTTTTTTTTTTATGCCCAGAAAAGGATTCCATTTTTTAAATTATTACAATTTCATCTAAAACACAAAAATAGTACACAAATATTAACTTTGTCGCTAAAACATTTACCACCCCTGAATGTTTAATTTGCAAAAGAAAAAAAAGGAGACTTCCTTTAAAAAACTGAATTTTCAAACAAACATTTGGATGTCAATTCAATGTGTCCTAAGAATCACAAAAACCTTTACTGGTATCTTGGAAAATTTGCATATTTTGAACTCTGTATCTGATCAATAATTAACATTAATTGAAAATGATAAAAAAAAATCACCATGTAGAAATCTTAAAAACAGTACAACTAGTTGCCCTAGTTGTTTGCCGGTGATTTATAAATAATTATTACAATAGTAGAAATATACATAAAGTTCAGTACTTAATGCCACAACTATAAGCTCCCTTGCTTCCAATAAGGCTCTTGTCTCAAAAAGTTAGGGTGCTCAGCTTTTAAAAACTTTCATAAAAGCAAAGTTAAACAAGTCACCATAAGATAAAAGTTAGTTTCCTGTAGCCTTTAGCAGTCAGACTCTGATGGAGCTCGGCCTTCTTAATTACACTGTATTTTGCAGGAAATGTATCGAGATCCTCCATCTAGGGATACACTCTGGGCTATGAATAATCATTAGAAGTTACTCAATGCACCTCAGTTTGTATCTATAGTACTGTTATTACAGTTAACAATTACTGAAAGAAAAGTTCTAAAAGTAATGATCCTGGTTAAGAAAGTTGATAAGGTATAGTGCTATTCAAACTTCCCATGAAACTTGATTATTTTAGTTAATAATTAACAATGATAAATCATTTCATTGATATTTGGTTGAAGACTAAAGATGCATTTGAGTAATGGTAAAACAAATACTTTAAATTATTTTCAATTGGGGAAAAAACCCTCAAAATGCAGGAAAAAGCTAACTGCAAAAAGGAGTCTAGAATTTCAAAATTTCAGTGGGGAGTTGGGAGCTCCCTGGAAATAGAAGGCCTTCCGGGCCTTCAAAACTACCGAATTGTACAGTATTGTAATAAAACCTGTCTACTTCTGATTAATTTAGATTCTCCTTTAAATAGTTTAGTGCTCCATTAGGGAGATTTTTACTGTATGCCAATCAGTTCTGTAATTGGTGGAGCTTTCACCATTAGCTCATCATATTCTTTGTAAAATTTGAACAGTTGATTCATATAAGTGGCTTCATTGTATGGAAAGCCATTATTCTTAAGGTAGCTGGACACAACAGGTTTGATCTTCAGGCACATGTTATCAGACAGACGTGGAAATAAATGGTGTTCCACATGGCAGCTGATGATGGAATGGCCAAAGGAGTAATCCAGAAGTGGATTTCTGGGAAGATTGAGGGCTGCGGAGGCTAATTGGTAGAGGCGTCTTGGGCGTTTCTTTACATCATACATGGGCAAGCCAATGTGCTGGAAAATATTTACATGGATGTATGGAATGGCAAATACTGAACGAGTGGTGATCATGCAAAGGATGGTACCAAAGAGGGACAATCCAGCCACATACTGGAACAAGCAGAAGTGCATAATGTAGCCAGCTGTTGCAGTGCAGAGAAACCTTGCAATTGAGTACCAGCGTCCAGCAAGCAAGGTTATGCCTATTGCTGTGTTGAAGAGTGGCATGGACAGTGGAGCAATGAATAGGTATGTAAAACGGCCCAAGAATGGTGCCCGCCATGAACTAGAATCACCCAAACCAATCACATTTGTGTAAGGGTGATGTAACTGAATATGAGCTTCAAAGCTGCCTTGTTCTGTAAAACCTCCCCAGATCTCAATGAAAAAGACAGCAAGGAGGCGGTTGAAGAAATGGGATGAGCCTGCCAAGGCATTGTGTATAGCTGCATGGGCCAGCTTCACTGTAAATGTGGCATGGATGTATGAGAACAGAAGATAGCCAGTGGCAAACAAAGGTATGCTGCCAGATCCAAGAAGCAAAAGACTAACAGGAAGAAATGCAAAATTTGCGAACATCATTGTTAAGTCAATGCCATAGAGGTCCCACCAAGAAGTTTGTGAGACAATATCTTTGACAAGTAAGTTCAGTTGGTTCATGGACGGCCTGTTCTGTGACATGTTGTCATCTTTCTTGTCAGCCTCCATAAAAAATTCTTCAACCAAATCATTCTTTTCATATGGTGCCATGGCTCTTGCCAATCTGACTATTTATAATGGAGAGATGATTTCTGAAAAACAGTCAATTTCACTGAGAATGACTTCTGAAAAATAATATTAAAGTTATTATATAAGTTATTTACAGGTGTCTCGTTCCTTTTTATAAAATTAGCATTTCAAATGAGTTACAGGTCAAAAATTAATTATAAATTTCTCCCTTGTTGCCAGTAAAATTTTCCAGAATAAAACATGTCGACGCCATTATGAACAAAATGTGCGGGATAATTTTCATTAAGATAGAGCAAAAAGTGAGACATATAAAACCCCACGCATATTCTCAAATCTTAAAATCTAACAGGACTAATTTAGTGAAAAATAATATTTCAAAATACGTGTAAGTAATAACATAATTATAGTTTAGTAGCTACTCTTGTCACATCAGTCTATACTTTATTAAACTGGAAAAAAAAATGAGTTTGAAGTTAAATTAAGTGACAGAGCTGAAGGAAAAAGGTTTGATAATTTTGATAGCTACTGCGATGCAAACTGCAGAAAAATCTTGAAGAACAGACTTTGTTTACATGCTGCAATCCACCCATTGTATCTAGGTGATATATATTGATATACCTCTGGGAATTTCTATTGACGCCCGGAAAATTCTCAGGTACGCAACTTTACCTCTCACACACCCAAAGAGAGAAATTGCTGATTTGTGTCTAATGTTAAAGTATCAATTACATTTCCTTTTTTGGAGCCAAAGAAATTAAAAAATGTCACACAAGTGATGACATTTTTCTCAGTGCAAAGCGAATATTACGCAAGTTGTTAATTAAAGTAGAGCGTGTTTTTTTCCAGTAGAGTTCACATGAATTTCACATTTTTTTCGCTTAATCAAGTTACCTTTGCGTCCCTGGAGAAAACCTTGCATACCCTATCCGGTGATGTCCAAAGTGGAAGCTTTCGTCCGGTAAAGATTTCCCAGGAGTAATATTTGTTTTGATTTTGTAATTAGGTTCAAAGTACGGTTTCAACCGAAAGGGACTGGGAATTTTAGGAGACAATACGGTGGGTCATACATGAATAGAGTGAAGTAGAGGCAAATCTGAAAACATGCCGTCGTGTGTTTTGTGCGATGGAGAAGTCTTTGACTGTATTGATGGGCTGTATTACTGCAAAAGCTGTGGAACTCAGTCTCAGGTAATCAGTTAAAGGTTTTTCTTAATGCTAAAGTGTCTTTCAGGATCAATAGAAACATTGAGTTTTGAGGGAGATTAAAGATACAACGCAATCAAAGTGCGCAATTTTTAACATGGAGCTCAGTTGGGTCTCGCAGGAAATTCTTCAGTTAAAATGGAATCGTCCCTTTTCGTGTCTAAATTAACCGCTTTATACGAACACAAATTACGCTTAAATACATGGTTAACCTTAACCTGCAGTGACATATTCTGAAATACCAGCAAAAGGTGCTTGAAATTTGATTCAAAATGATCAGGCTAGAGTTGCGGGAATTTGGGAATATAATCGCTTCATAGAGGTTGAACCTGTTAAAATGTGTTCCCACTCTTTTATGTCAGTTTTCATGGCGGTAAGGGTAGATGCAGTGGCCCAGCAGTTTGTGGCAGGCTCACTATACATGCAGTTTTCTTGAGCTCATATAAACATTTTACTCCAGCCCCGCAATGCTTCTCTCCGTGAATGATTTGTATGCAGTATTTGCTAACTTTGTTGTACCAAGGCATGGGAATTTTATTTCCAGTTTGCTACCAGTATAGCTATTCTCTTTGATGCACTCCCTTTCAGAACTAAAGGTTTCTGATATTCTAAGTTTATTGGCATGAGCTGTTCTTTCCTCTTGTTGGTTCAATTTTAAACATTGGCCTAGAAAGATTTCCATATAACCCCATACTAATAAAAATCAAAGTCCTAATCCCAAGAGTAATCTGTTGTTTTGCCTTTGCTTTCTTTTTTCCAAGAATTTTATGCATAAGGAAGTATGGGGTTTTATTAGATGGCTGTGTCTCACAAGGACTGGGAACTACCAAATTCACGAATTTGATTGGCTGAAATCAATATTGAAAGCGGTCTAGATTTTCCCATCTAGACTGGCATCTAGACCGGCATCTAGACCGGTCTAGAAAAAGAAGGTACAAAAAATATAAAAAACTGCCATATAAGACACAGCCATGTATTAAACATCTTATAAATTAACCAAGCTAGGTCAGTCTGTATGGGAGAATCTTGACCTCGGTCGCTGGTACAGACCTCAGTCAATATTCTCCCATACAGACCTCCCGCTTGGTTGATAAGAGCTAAATACGGAAATCTTACCCATTGGCCCTTCTAATGTTGGGATAGCTCAAATTTTTCTGTTGGGCATAATGAATCGGCCAGCAGGAGCATGAGTAGAGAATTTTAAATCCTCAGAGGTGACAGTTGATAATTTAAGTGTGCTTAAAGTGTGCTGTGTGTGGAGAGCAGGGATGGCTCGGGGAGCAGGGATGGTGCAGTGGTGAGAGCACTTACCTCCCACCACTGTGGCCCTGGTTTGAATACCAGACCTGGTGTCACAGGTGGGTTGAGTTTGTTATTGGTTCTTGTCCTTGCTCCGAGGGTTTTTCTCTTGGTTCTCTGGTTTTCCTTCCTCTGCAAATTCCAATTCAATCCAGCAACAGTGAAAATTAGAGCCACCTAGTGGGATGTCCATTGCTAAATTATTTATTATTTATTATTTTGTTACTCATTTATTATTGTGCCATTATGCAAGATTTAATAATGATTAACCCTCTACAGCCTAACAGCAGTATGCATATTCTCCATACTGTTCTCTTTACATTTCCTAAGATGCTGACAAGGAGAATTTGCTCAACAATCAAGAGCTTCCTTATATGGTGATCATTTCCTTTATTCTCAAGACCTTTATATTTGACTTAGGGGTGAAAATGAAAGGAGAAATTAGATGTTAGTCACTCTTAGAGGTTAGAGGGTAGGGAGAAAAATCTGATTGGTTTGATAGTGTATTGTGAATTGCTACATTATGCTGCTGTAATTCTTCCTCCTTTTTTTTTCTCTTTTTTCTCTTTCTCTTTCTCTTTTTTTTTGCTCTCCATATCTGGCCTCCCAAGCCTAGAAGTCAGTCGAGAAACATTAAGTAGGAAGTTATGGGGTGCCGTACAGGACAATATTGTGTGCCGAAAAAATAAAATGCAAAAGTTAAGTATATATGGCATGGATCAAATAAATATATGAATAGAATATATGTGCAACATATNTATTTATTTATATATTTATTTATTTATATATTTATTTATCTATAAATTAGGATATGAGAGATGAAGAGATGCAAGATCCCTATGAAGCTGGAAATGTTAGGCAATTGCAGTTATCAGAGAAGGGCAGAGGTGGAAGAAAGAAACAGTTCAGTGAGTCAATTTCTCCTTCCAATAATATTATTTATTTAAAAAATGTTTATAATAAATTACAGGTGCATTGTTTACTTATAAGGTTATGCTTGCCACTTTTTTAGTGTTTCATAATTATTTACTGGTACATTGATTATTGATATTTTTGTTGCTAATCATGATTTCTCCAGTTGTTTTAAGTTCTATTGTCAGACAGTAGGGAGTAACACTTGGGCTGTGGGCTGTGGGCTGTGGGCTGTGGGCTGTGGGCTGTGTCTGTTACAATAAAGACTTCTTATTCTAGGGCTTTCTTTAGGAAGAGAGATTCTTTTTCATTCATTTTCCTGAGACCTTGCCTTTGCAGATGGTTATTGTACTAGTTATTATAATTATTTTCACACTTTCCCACACATTCAACAGTTGCAGACAAAGGGAAACCTTGGTTTATGTACGAAGCATATCAGCACATCATTAGGATGCAAGTTGAATATCTGATAAAACTTGGAGTCAACGAGGCATTGAAGGTGAACAATGAACCTGTTTCTTCCCACTGAAGCAACCTGAACCATTATTTCTTTTACACCTTTATTGCCTTCCTTTTGATTGAGTGTCAAAAAGTAAAAGTGCTCTAATTTAAAATCAAAACAGCCATCAAGGAGAATCAAATTTAACAAGTTGTGTTTAAGACATGGTGATGACTCTTGTTTTAAGTACAGATGGTTCAATTTAATGAGCACCAAGCATTCAAAAATGCTAACAACCAAGTGATCAAAGGGTACTTAAAAAAACCCTTTCTTAGAAAAATGAGTTTGATTTTTATTAAAATGAATTTAATAGTCATTTTCTCATTAGAAGCAATCAGAGGCTTGGAAATCTTGCAAATGGCTCATCATTCTGTTTTGTGAGGTGATCACAGAAATGTTGAATTGAATCCCATGTAACTTGAATCTCTCATTCAAAGTGTTTACAAGTCTTCTTCTTTTCCCTAGGATGTTGTCTTTAAGCTGTGGTACAAGTATTTGCAGGTCACTCAAAGTGCCTTTACTGGATCTCCTGAGGGAGCTGTACCAACCAAGGGTTCAATTTTCTACCCACGGGATGCTAATCTCTTAAACACAAATAAAAGAAGGAAGTCTGGACAAAAGAGGAAGCTGGATCCTTGTGAATCAGATGATGATGAATTAGAACTGTGTTCACACTTTAGTGATGAGGAGTTTTATGAAGGTAATAACATACATTAATTTTTTTATCGTATTGTATTTTAGATTAATCTAAATGGAAGATAAAAGAATTCCTCCCATTTAAGTATGATGGACAAATTCTGCAGGTGGAATGGATGGCCCAAAAATAGTCACTGTCAGTCACATTTTAAAAGACTTCACAACGAGCCATTGAAAACTCAAATTAAACGGTTATGTTCTAATTTGCTAAAATTTGTTGATCTTCTAATAATGTAATGGTTCATGGTTTAGTACTATTCACAGGGTTGTCATGGTTACCAGCAGACTCAAAAGCAGTTCTTAATTCTGCTAACCTTTCAGGCCCCCACCCCACCTCCCATACTCATCTATTGTCAGTTGATGTGTGTAAATGATACAGTTAAAATCTAACATCTAGTAATTCACTAGTCTTTTACTCTTTCAAACTTTTTCCTTACACTCTAGGTGATGATCCCTCAGAAGCATTGCCAAAAGATGATGATAATGCTGATGATTTGAATCTGGGTGATGATTGGACTAGTCTCTGTCGCAGCAAAGAGATGCATGTAGATGATGTCTCGGACAGTAGCGAAGATGAATTTATTGGTTCCGTGACTTGCCATCAATCGAAAAAAAAAGGAGTAAGATATGGGTGTGTTTCCCTTCAGTGCACCCTAGCATTTTGTTATCTTGGCCTGCTGTGGATGGATGAACCAGTTTTTATCAGTGACTTGGTGAGGTAGGTGTGAAAGGTTGATGATCTCTCTTGTCTTGGAGTGTTTGCTGAACCCGGAGGATTTCAAAGGTGATTTTAATACAGTACAACCACTTTCTCACAACAGAGACTATGAGCATTCCCCCAAATCCTTCATGAGATTAAAACTTCTTTCTTTTACTTGTGCAACAGATTTCACCAACAAGGAGGGACTGCTCAAAGTCTACTCACAACAGGGCTCCAATTCAAATTTTTTGAGTCGCTATTTGGCAACCTTAACCCCTAAACTAACATGGGTGACCAAGACAGAATTTCTCCTTAGAATATCATTACAATATCAAGCAAACAGGGGATAAAAGTTAGGTAGGTCCATGTATTGCAAATTTACACTTGTGAGTCTAGGGTTTCATTTTCCACACTCTCATTTTCTCATGATTGCTGTAAAATTTACAAATTGTTGTTGCTCATGATTTTCCAAAATAAGTGTCTTTGCCTAAAATATCAAAATCCTAGTCAGTATTTTTAAAACACCAACTCTGATTGAATAAGGACTCTCAGAGTATTATTTTCCAGATGGGCTAAACAAGGACAGCTCCCTTACTTCCAGATAACAAGACACATCCCTGGGCACATGAAATTTGGTCATGGTGATTTTCAGAGTTTGTGCCCTCTTAGGTAAGTGAACTATTAAGATCAGTTTCTTCGCTCTCTTCAGAGTTCCATTATGTAAGTTGTATGTCCTTTTAATTTTTCTTCCTATTATTATCACGCCAGCTTAACAAGCAGCCCTCTAAATAAAGTGCCCTCTTTCCAATGAGTGGCTCTTCACCCTCCCCCCCCTCCTTGTTAGGTAAAATTTTAAGGTGCCTATTAAAGGAAATAAGAGATGTTATTTGTTTGTTTTGCCCGCCCTCCTTAACTTATTTGTTGGTCCGTCTCTGACAATCATCAATATTCCCTTATTTATATTGAAAGCTTCCTCTGGTTAGTTATTCCTATTCATTTACCAGAGTTCCCCCAGTATCATCCATTCTTCGACGTGCGTCAACGATTGCAAAACTACTGCGACTTCCACGTTTTCCAGAACCTAAATTATCCACCTACACGGCACGTTTTATCACAGATCTGCATCTTCCAGGTGAGAAACAGCGATAGGATGCATTTTTCACTGCGCATAAACCCATATCTGAAGATATTTGATTTTGTGCATTGGCCAAAATTTACTGCACATATGTTGAATTTATCTCCATATGGTATCCAAACTCTCTGTGCATTCAACCACTCTCTATCTTGCGGAACAAAGGTGAAATTATAGCCCTTCCCCCCCTCTCCCCTCTCCCCTCCCCTCTTAGCGGATACGCAAGACTAGCGCGAGGCAAGCGCGAGACAAGCGCGAGTGTCACGCAAATTGGGGAGCTTGGCACACCCTTCACTTCCTGAGAACAAATGAAATGATACGCAAATTATACAGCGGGATCAAAATCATCCAGCACTTATCTGACTGTTTGTTTTGTAACAGGTTTTCTTCATGGTGTGGTGCGCAAACTAGCAGAAAAAGTGAAAGTTGAAACCAACATTCACCCAGTCTTTCAGTCCTCCATTCCAAATTTCGAAGCTGGTGCTATGGCTTTGATTGTTGTTGCCTTGAAACTCTGTTACGGAATTGATGACAAAACCGAAAAGTAAGCACGATTACGTGATCATTGAACAAAAAATGTTTAAAAAAAAAAAAACTCTAAGATTGAAGCTACAAGGTAGGTGTGCAGAATGTTGACTTATTGGGGGCCAAATTCATCATTCTAATTTTGCTTTTGTTGACTCAAGCTGGCAATCGACAAAGTTGTTGCTGAGCAAAATGAGACTGAAGTTGCTGCGCTGATAAAAAATACGTAAGGGGAAACAACAATCCTCTAGATTTTCCATTGTGTTTGAGCTTTATCTAACACAACTTATCTGCTTTTAAAACACGTTTGTTCGCTGTGTTGAGTGTCATTATTTCATGGCTTATTTAATCCTTCGACCCATGAGCGAGTAGCATCTAATATCTCCTTACTAAATCACTGGTGAATCAAACATTTTGGTCACAAGAATAAAAGAAATGTTCACAAACGAAAGACGCTCGTGATTGTCCAACAAACTCTCCTTTATAGCACCTTAGGGAATGTATAGAGAACAGTGTAAAGAAGATGTAAAGGGTTCTTCTACTTATAATATCCTTACTCTAAGGGACCATGAAGAAAAAGCCATATCCATGGAATTAGGCTCAAAAGAAGGAAATTGTCACACAATTCCCCTGTTCACTGATTGGTTGAAAAGCTGGAAGCATTGCGAAGCCAGGAAGTTCCACAGTGGTATTCCTTGGACAGATGAACAGGCTAAACTTGTTGGAGACCCCACGTCGTACAGTGCGTTCTGTAAATCGGACCTTTTTGGGTCGTGGGAACCAGCCGACCGCGTTTACACTGGAACTCAGGCGAAAAATTTGCGTGCAAACAGAATCACAAACGAGGAGAGCCAGAGCAGGTATGCACAACTGTTCAAGAGCCTAATGACACGACAACAGGACGAGGATTTCAATAGTACAGACACGCCCCAAGTGACAAGTTTTCCCGCCACGTGTAGACACGCGGAGAACTCTGAAAGTGGCTCCGAAAGTTGTTTTGATAGAATACATTCGCGTGGAATCAACGTAGAATCTGTCCTTGGGGGTGATACAGCAGAGGGCAATGATTTGAGGTACATTTGCTACTCAGCCGACCCTGCTGATCAAGACACTAATTTTCACAGTTCTTACAAGGTGCTGTTGAGTGTTTTGGCAGACCGCGTAGAAATGATGCCTGCGGATATACAAGCAAAAGTCCACAAACTTGAAAATGCGTTGTTTTTTAAAAAACGTCTTGTCAAGGGAGTGCTGTGATCGACTCGAACTGTGGCAGAGTTCAATCAATAAAACAGTGCTTATCATTTAACGAGGTTCATCAATAAATTTGTTCATTCTAAAGCTAGGAGACTTCCTCTTCTTAGAGATGCTTGCCATACGCATGCGCCAGTTTTTTTGTTGTTGTTGTTGTTGTTTTGCTGACATTAGCGAGCTATTTAACTATTTAGTTATTTTAAGTGGTACGGAGAAAACTCAACCTGCTCATTTGGTAAACTCTTTTCCTGAACCTTATTTTAAATTTCATAATTTACGACAAGAAACCTTTTCCTTTGCTATAATTCAATTGTTATGGAAAAGGTATTTATTCTGTGAAAATATTTGCCAAGCATCACACAAGGTTTCGCAAGGTCACACGCTCAAATACTGGCTTCTTTTACGCAATGTCTAGCTAAGATCTTTTTATCGCCAAATTCAAGTTCTTGTCCAAAATTTTGCTACAGCTGCAGACACTGTTAGTTGCCCATACTGATACAACAGTTTCCACGTGAAGGAACACCTGCTTAAAGGTAAATTTGGACTGCATTCCTGCTGTACTTCGCCCTTTTTTATCAATCTGACTTGTTGCTACCTTACGAGCCAAGATAAAGTCGTGTTAAAGGCTAACAATTCTTTTTTTTTTTTTCTTACTATACTACGTTCTTTATTTGGTCAGAAATCTCGAGACACCCTCTCAACCAATCAGATGCCAAGTTTAAACCAATCGCGGGTGACCAATGGCGTTTTCCCGCGCCTGGGCTCATCCTGGTGCCCCCTTTGATTTGACTAGCCCTCTTCATTACCTCACTGGTTTTTTGAGGTACGACATTTAAGAAAGTACAATGCCCAAAGTAGTTTGACCAGCGTGCCTAAGTCAGAAACAACACCCCGCTCCAAGAAGTCATATTTTGAGAGATAGCTTGCTTCATGAACATCCTCACTTTTAATACCATGAGAACAAAGACCTTTTTTTATTTTCATGAAAAGAAAAAGATGCAAAATACTTTATGTCAATAGACTTGACTAATAAAACAGTGAATACATGAGGGTAACGGCTAATCATAATTATATCATTCTGCAGCGAGAACTTCATCAGAAAGGGCATAAATAACTTTAAACGTCCCTCATAAAATCTCTACATTTAACCTCTTTTTACAGAGTGTATGTTTACAAACTTTTGACCAGAGGTTCGACGTGGTCTTCGAGTAAAACTGTCCTGTAATGTCCTTAGGCCGAGTAGGGTCAACAAAGCGCAATATTAACACGGGCATCTGGGGGTTAAATAGAAATGTCCCTTCTCAATGGGGGTCGGGTAGGGGATATATAGCAGTAGCCAGGGCTACTCGGTCAGTCTCCACCACCGTCTTCTTGAGTCGGTTTTCTGTCCGCACTCCAAAGGTGCGGGCTTCCACTCATAGGGCTGTTACCAAAGTCTCCATCGTCGCCGACGCCGTTGCTGGCATCATACTGAGTGTTCTCCAGTCTGAAAGTGGAAAGCAAAGATTTCACCGATATGATTGGTCATGCCGGACGCTCTAAATAGTAATCAAGGATAACCATAATAAAGAGAAAATTCCCTTTCATCTGCGAGAGAAGGGAAATTTACTCATAAACAATCCAACAATTGATCTCAAGTTCCTACAATAATTCTTCCTTCTGCCTCCTGCTTCCCTCTCCCACAACACTTGTGTTCTAACCCGAGGGGGAGGGGGGAAGGGGGAAGGGGGAAGGAGATGATGAAAAAACGCTTTGTGCATTACAAATCCCAATATCTGGAAAACTTGTCGCATGTGAATCTAAAGACGCCCTTCCACCTCCACAATGCCAACCATAATTTTGCACTTTAGTAAAGTACAAAATAAAACATCACAATTTTCGAAGATTATCTTAGATTCTCATTAAGCCATGTTTATAAAATAAAAAATTCCTGAGATAACACCAGCGCCCTGATTGGTCGATAGGCATGTTTAGACGAGGGTATGTAAACACGGTTGTGTCATTTTTGAATATCACATATCCTTTGAGAAATATTGTTAAAAAAAAAAAAAAACTCTTGTTCATGAAACCATCGTGGAGTTGGGAAAATTATCGAGAATAAAGCAACCCCGAAACAATCGCCGAGAAGCATAACTGTCTCGGATTCTCCTAGCTCCCTTAATGTCGGAAGAAGTTTCTCCGACATGGAAAAAGTCTCCTTTTGCTTATAATACATTGTAAGATCTGTCGTTGGGTTCACCCTCCCTCTTCAATTTCCCTCTGACAAAATAACACAATTTTAAAATAAAATGGCTCGTGAATATCGACCCTACAGCACGTAAATCAACGGGAAGAAATACACAAGTAACATGCAGTCATGAAATGATCTCCCATTTACTTTTATCGTACTTGAACAACTCATCGGAGACATTTACTCTTCTGATTATCATCTCATTATCTATTTGTCAGAGGCAAATTAATTCGAGAGGGAGGATAAACACTCACCGAGGGTCTAATGTCAAGGAAACTGCTGTCACCATCATCACAACCCAATCTGAAGTGAAGAAGAACCGTTACTAGATATTCGCTGCCCACATTTAAACCGTTTGACCCCTATGTTACACATTTAGATCACGAGAAGAAAGGAAATGATGACCAACTATAGAAGCTCCGTTAAACAGCTAAGAAATATATGGAGAACAGTGTTTGAGAGTTTGAATATTGCTTTTAGGGTGTAAAAGTTAAAAATAATCAACATAAACAATCTGTCCATGTTGTCTTTAGGTAGTATTTCAAATAGCAATACAGAAATTCAAATGAGTTCATAAACTACTTTTTGCACGTAGCCTCCTAAAATTCAGGCCCAACTGGATTCGAGTACTTGGCTCTCAGACCCCAATTCGAATCTCGTCGAAGCTTGAAATCCCTCTAGCTTCTTTTTTGCAGTGGTTTAATATCCCATTGGAACTTCTTTATTTTTCTCTAAATGCCGCATCAACACTAGCTGGTTTCCTTTGCAATTTTGATTTCGAAAATGTTCCTCTGCAGTGAAAACGAAAGTGTATGACTAATTTGTCTTTGATCAAAACATTGACGGAAGCTTTTGAAAGAGACTTCGTGTCGAGGGAAGAGTGTTTGGTACGTCAAAGGAGAAAGGTTAGGTTGCTAAGCAAAATTCAAAATGGCGGCCTTCATAATCGAACATTGAGTACATTTTTAAGTCAAATGTTTGCAAAATTAGGTAGTTCTATGGAAACTCAGACAGCGGTCAGTTTTTTTTTCTTAATTCCATGCAAAACTTGATGGTTTCAGGACTACACTTCACCCTTGACTTAAATTCTGGTGGAACACGTTTTCGTTAAAAAGGTCCCCTTATAGGTTTTCTCTGCTGATGTATGTAGCAAAAATGTTACCTTATTATCTGCACCGCTTGTCACGAGAAACTAGCTAGTGTGAACGCAGTTTGACTTTGTATCAATGACAGAACAACACTTTACCTTGTAATAAGCCGCTCGTCTTCGTCTCCGAATTCGCCGCCCATCAGAGAAGGCTCGCCGACAACCATCACATCTTGGGTCGCCAGTGTAAACCCGGACGCACTTGGCGACTTCTTTTTGCTGGAAGTGTTGTTCATCCCAGTATTAGGGGTCGATGAGTTTGCGGTTGTAGACTTCCGTTTCCGCCTTGTCCTTGGAGCACGGGGCGTTTCTGCTGATGGGAAACAATAAACTTTATTTATTTCACTGATTTCAGGAATTGTGATAAAAAAGAAACCAAAAACGAGAAGGGAACCCTTGGTTTCGGGTGAGTAACTGAGGATATCAATTTACACTGCCGCCTTACTAGCCTGCTTACTTGTAGGATGGCTGTCATCTTCGCTGTCACCTTTATCACTTATGCAACTCACAGAAAAGGAATTGATTGAATTCTCATATTTTTGTTTCACTAACGCTAACGACAAATTTTTATCAGTATTCTTTATTCCACGACGGTCTATGCTCAAAATTTTTACTCTTGTTCCACTCGGTACGCTTTCAAAATTGCTAATCCAAGCAGTATGAAACGCACGCGTCACATTTACATTTAAATGGCATGATTCACAACAGAGCTCTCTGTGGCCCAGATACAATGATACAACATCTGAACATGAATTGTACGTGACTGAAGCATAATAACTTCAAGTCACCAAAGCCTTCTTTTTCCTTCTTCATCTTTCTGTTTTAAGAACCCAGTACAAGGCCCACCTCCGTGGCAAAATAATTTACAGGACAAAATTTCTACTAAAAGTATGAAATAGAAAAGTCCGAGGTGTAAATCCTCACAGGGTACTCAGAAGTTTTGACTAACTTGTAAACTTTTTTTTTTCTTTTAAGACACGACGAAGAGACTTCGAGAAAAGTAGAAGCCTTTAATGTTAATAACATTTCTCTGGAAATTAGTGTTGCATATACGGGTTAGGAGATTGGGAACCTTTTTGTCATTTTGTGTTCACAATAAAGATGAAAAAACGAATTTTTTTACAATAATTATACTTATACGCCTGCTAAGGACTGAATATTCTACTTCTGTGAACAGTTTTCCGTGACAGCCTTTTATTTATTACCAAGATCAATTCTGGGAAAATAATATCACAAGAAGTAGATGCCTAGGGCATTAATAGCTCAAATCTGCTCTACTGTGGTGCAGTTAGGCTTTTGCATAACAGCGGATACTTAAATGGTGTCCGCTCTGTCACTACAACTACACGGTGCAAGTGCAGTTTGGATCCCTGTTTTAAGTATTTCATGCTTTCTATAAGATTTAAAACAGTGTTTGACCACAAGATTTGACTCCTGAAGACTGATTCCATTTTGAAGCAAAATTAAATTTCAAAATTCCCAGTACAAAAGACCCTACATCGATCTTAGTCAGAATTCAGCTGGTTTTCCTGTGAACGAAAACGCTGGCTACCCTGTGTTGACCAAGCCAGTCTTCCTATGATCAAACACTGTTTAAGATTGGAACTGAGGCTAACCTTTTTTGGAAGCAGGCTGCCCAGTCAAGGTTCTCTCGAGAAGTTTAGGAAAAGGGGATCCTTTGGGGTAAAACAGGTATAAATGAGATATTTGTTCCTTTAGGATCATCATATAGCAGCCATTTTTAATTGAAATGCAGTCGATAGGTTAAAAATGGCCCCTCATTAGTTTATAGATTGCCAGGGTGGCTCTGTTAAAGAGCAGGACATGATAAACCCTGACTTTTCAGCTAATGATCATAACTTACATGATTTTAAACTACCATATGCTAAAGGCCTTTGATGAAAGACCTTAGGAAAGAGCAGCTAAGAGAAACAAAAGGGTAAAGATCTGTATGGAAGATCTGTATGATTCAGGGTGGCTGCGATCATTAATCAAATCAGGTGCAAGAAAAGATTCTGTCCTTCCCCTCTCAGAACAAGATTTCTGCCAAGATTTAAGTAAAAGCTATGTGTTTTTAGCCCTTTAGTAAAAAAAACATACAAACATGCAGAATTATGCAAACATTTTGACTGGTTCTTGCTCACTGCTTGATCTCTCGATGAACACTCCTCACAACTCCATACATCCAATAACCACTTGAGACAGTTTGCAATTGCTCAAAAGAAACTGATTTTGAACATGTGGCTTTTGAATATCAGGGCTTTGGAACTCTTTAAGTACAAATTCAAAGGTAAACTAGCAGAAAAAAACAATTAACTTTTCCAGCTAGACTTACTAGTGAGCCAAATGTGGAAAATCAGTTACTTTTCAAAACCTGCCAACTTGATTGAATAGTGCTTGATTGAATAGCAGTTTTACCCTTAACCTTCCAAAACTAACCTTGTTTGACAATAATAAAAGCAAATTCAAATAAAAATAGAACATTAAAGAGAGCATGGTATGTTTAAAACTAAGAAGGAAATCTATCACAGTAAGCTAAAATAAAATGGTCAAATAACTTAGAAGAGTGAAACTGAATTAAGCAGAACAAGACCTTACCAGGAGTGGTTGGAGTGTTAGGTTGCCACATCATTTCACCGCCTTGATTATAATCTGTAACAAGATGTGCAAAGAAATACAAATCAGTATCAATTAGCTGGTTCAGCTTGTGTACTTTGGTTAAAAAGCTCAAATAGTTCTTTCAAAAATTCAAAATTCAGAGCCATTGCACATCAAAGGTAAAGTGGGATGACTTTGGCTTTAACTTTACTAGAATTACCCTTTGGCTTTACTACACTGTTTTACTCTGTTCATTCTCTTTATTTGTGATGCTCTGAATCTTTCCGCTGAATGGTTGGGACTTGGGAAAAACAGTTGATCTTCTTTCAGGTAAGGGGGTCCTTCTATAAAGGACTATTTTTTTTGCTGATAGCAACTGCCATTTCGACAACCCAAGCAGCTGTGATGAATACTTAATCAGGTCAGTTGGATGTTGCTCAGGGTCTCACAACTTCAGCCTCTGTTACCGACAACACTCCTCATCAGAGTTACCTTTGATAGGACTATCACAACTGACATGAATTCATTCTTGTTAAATGTAAAACCCAAAAAGGAAATTTAGCAAATTTTTAAATGAAATGCTTGGCCAAATACTTAAACTACTGGTAAGTAATCTGAAAGTCTGAAAACCCACAAAAACAGTGAGAATGTTCATATTTGTATAATACCTGGAGGGGCACACATTCTTTGCCACCTCTGGAAAAGTGTTGACTTCAAACAATCTGCAAACACAAAAGTTATTGCCAAGAAAAAGTTTAATTTCATGTTATACATGTCAAATAGATAACTAGAAAGAAATAAATAAAAATAATAAAGTGTGGGTACACTTGGAAAACAACAGCAACACATGATGTCTTCTGATTGGCAACAAGGAATTTGCTGTTCTTTTAAGAATACTAATACATATATCTTATTAGACATTTTGTTGTGTAGTATTGCTGAGTATTTTTACGAGTTGTGCCGTATTTTGACGAGCCCATAGGGCGAGTCAAAATACAAATAACGAGTAAAAATACTCAGCGATACTACACAAGAAAATGTCTAATAAGTTATTTATTATCCAACATGCCAAACTGTTATTTCAGTGCGGGCAAATTTCGCGGATATGCGAAGTATGCGAAGCGGAACGGAATTGGCGCGTTGTTGTGTTGCTGTTTCTATTTTCTACATTAAATAAAGAAATTTTCTGGTTGTCAAGCTGTTTTTCTTTGCTCGATTCATCTAATGAACTTGGATCTATATTTGCCAACCATTCTGACTCTTTGTCGTCAGAAATATGATTCAAATTGTCCGCCACTTTTTTTTTTCCTGACTACAATCCAATTCTTTGCTTGCGCAATACGAGAAAACCTGTTTAACCGGTACCACAATAGACAAGTATAAATACTGCGTGATATTTGTACTCGTCTATGGTGTTATTTGTACTCATCTAGGTGTAGTTGGATAATAAGAACTCGTATTGAATGCCTGGTTAATATCTCCTGAGCCACTAAAGTTGGCAGGGATTTCATTAGAAGCTGGCAACCAGTGAATTCTAGCAGCTACTCTCCACAACTGAGCCAGCTACTATGGCCATTCCACCTCCCAGTTTTTGTGTGTGTTTTTTTAGAAAACATTCAATATATTCTAATGGAGGTCATCAATAAAGGTTTTTTTGTTGATATTTTGTCTCCTTTTTGGTTGTTAGGTGAATTTTGTAACAAGTTCTAACAATTCAATCAACAACACAATTGTTTTACTGTGTGCCATACTGAATGGACCGAAGAGAAAGACTAGTGACAAATCTGCCTTGATGACCACTAAACTGTCTTCCTCCTACTTACGTCCTAATATACGCCAACTTCCAAAATTAATGAAATCCCTGAGTTGGGCTTCACAAACTTCTATTGCACTATAAAGATCCTTACACAATTTTTTTATCCTTAATTCAACCTAGACAAAATGAAGGGAAAAATCCTCTTCTTAGCTTAGAGCTAAAGAGAGCTTCAAACTATGAAACTTATGCTTGCTCACCTCTAGGGTTCATATTGTAGGTCTTGTGACGAGACATAAGCTCTTGCATTGGCTCCAGAATGACGCATAGCTGTATGAAATATGATAGGTTCGTCTTCAGAAAGAAATATAGTTGTAATGGAAGAGCAAAGAGATACCATTACACAGGCAGCAATTTATCACCAACTGATTTGTATGGCAAACTTTTATAACTATTCCCTTCTCATATTCAAAGTAATGTCTTCATGCAGCAAGAGCATTTGATAGGTGATGTATTGTCAGTACCCATATATTCTTCCTGTAATTTGGTTTATGGCCTAAGCAAGGCTCTCAGTCAATAAAAAAGACAAATATTGGTTTTTTAAAGAGTTTTGAGGAGAGAGAGAGAGAGCTGTGCTTTGTTTTAAATACCTCTACAAACCAGACCATTTTTAAGATAAAAACCCAATATCATTATAAAACATCAAAATTTAATGTTAAAATTCACATTGCAGGGTTCAGTAAATTAATCAATTGTTCATGGCCAACTTCATAGCTGACACTCCCTTGTAACTTTTCTCCTCCAAAATAAAATTCTCCCTCCTTACCCTTAGATAGTTCAGTGTGACATTGGTCATTCCTTGTCTTGTAACATTCTTGGACAACTGATCCAAAAAGTTTGGGTCTTGAGCCCCAACGATCACATTTCGTGGAATCATTTCAGTGTAATGCCGAATGGCAAAGTGCCAGTTTCTTATTCTCATCATGTCATCCATTGTGAACTCCAGTAACAAACGGCCTTCTGTACAGACCTGTCACAAGACAAGAAAGTATATTAAAATATTTCCCTAAAAGAGTCTTTCATTCCTCAGCATAAATACAAAATAATTCCAACTACATAGTTCAGGACACAACTTAAGCCAATCAAGAGGTGAGGTCTAAAAATTACTTCTTGAATAGCCCACATCCATTCCCCTCCATTCCCAGCTTTTTCTGCAGCTACACAAAATAAAGATACGTAGCCAGCTGAGTATTAACATTCAATCCTGTTGTTGCAAGAATTTTGGTGTTGGACAAGCTGGAAAAAAAACACCCAGAGGTCCAGTCGGTAAGGAGGGGTCTGAGCCCACCCTCCACCACATAAAATTCAGTGGGAACATGTAGCCTGTTTATCTACTGAAGGGCAAACAAAACCATGTTTTAACCAAAGTAAACAGAGATCAATGCAACTTTGGCTGAAAAATTACTCTGTCACTACTGTTATCAGGATCACTCAAACAAATTCCACCCAACGCCTCACAGAGAAAAGACAATGATTTCAAAGTAAATTCAATTGTGCCAATCAGTGGTTAGATGGCAGGAGATAAAAGATGACTATGAATTCAGATGAAATTTACAGTTTCTTTCTGCTGATGTGGTTGGTCACTTCTGTGTCTAAAGGTTGACCTTTAAGTAAGTTGTTGTATTGTAAAACTGTAAATTTTGGTCCACTTCAGCCAAATAAATGTACATTTAAATTGAATCTTAAAAAGTAGTACTATGCTTTGACACACAAAGGGCTTTCAAAAAAAAATTTGTCATTTATGATTACTGAATTGAAATTTTCATTGTGTATCTTTGGACCATGTCATTCCTTGCTATGGGGATGGCTTCTCATTGTCATTCATTTCTAATTTGGTCTTATATTTGGACAAAGTGTTATCTTTATCTACTCAAAACAGATGACCACCCAACAAGGTTTAGATCACCTACAATACAAACCTTTGTGAAGACTGGCATTTTGTGATATGTGATCATGGTTGTGTTTTCACAGTCTAATGTGATGGTACTTGTGTTGCTGTGAAAGGACTCTTTTGGCTGCACAATGTGATAATACAGTTCTTTAACTCCACCTTCAAATATACTTCGAAAGTACCTTGGAATCAAGTTCCGTCCTATAGCTAAAAGAATTTAGAGAAAAAAAAAAAGGTTTAAAGTGTGAGACAACTCTGCCAAACAGAAATGCACTGACTCTACAAATATCTCTACCATACTCACAGACAAAATTTGGTTTTGTCCCTACCACCTTAAATTCTATCTCATTTGATCTCACCACAGGCTTTCAACATTCCACAGAACCACACAAAAAACAAGGATAATAAACAGTTATAGAACTATATACTCTGATCAATATTTGGGAAGTTATGGAATGGAAATTTGCTTCCAGTTTTTCTATCAGGTTCTGAATTCAAGTCTTGCAAATTTGTCTTCTCCATATATATCCAATTAAGGGGTGAAAGTTGGAAAAAAATTGGAAATACCAATGACAATGTAGCCAATAAGGATTAAGTGACATTCTAAGGGAGACATACAATATCTTTTGGGCCCATCTTCCAAGCAAAAGCTCAATGTCATGGTAGCGTCATCATCAAAAAATTCTGTTGCAAATGCGTCCCACCAAACATTATCAGCATCCTGAAATAGAAAGAGATTAACAAATATTAACCCTTTAAAACCAAACATCAGTATGCAAATTCTCCATGCTGTTCTCTCTCTATACAATTGTATACATTTTAAAGGGATCAGATGTTCATTTTTTTTCTTGAAATGTTTGTCCTTGCATTATCTAGCTAAAACAAGTTGGGCACCCCAGGATACAAGAAGGTATCACTCTGAGTGAGTGAGAAATATAAATTTTTGTGGTAATTTTAGATTGACCTCACACAAATATAGATGGACCACTCCTTACACTTGTGTTTTCAAAACAAGGTGGATTAAGTTTCATATCAATAACTGGAATTGTGAGCTTAAGTGGAAGGTTAGTGAGCAAAATATCCTGGTATTAAACATGTTTGGAAGTATAGTTATTACAGATAAATCATATATCCTTTACTTTTTTGTGGAGAAACTTCTCTCTGGTATGTAGTTTAGCTATAAATAAAGGGCTTGGTCGAGCTTCTCATATTTCTCTAAAAGGATCAGTCACAGCAGTTTGACAAGTGACATGACAACAATGGCCTAAACCAGCAACAGCATATTTCAGCGATTGCTATAAATACTAAGTAGGCATTAATAGTGTTCTGAAGATCATTAATAACTTCAGTTTGGAATGGACATATCTCTATCTAACTGTATACTTTACCAAATTCATTGTAAGGGACTGAAAGGGTTAGGAAAGCTTTGATACAATTCCTTTGCAACCTCCCAGCTTTTCTTTTCTTTCTCAAACCAAAGGATCAATATTACCTTATCTCTCTACAGGGTACAAAGAGCAAACCATGTTGTATTTTGCCATCAATACTAAAATGAATAAAAGAGACCTATCGTAGGCTTTTCTTGGTGAGCCAGTTCCCTTTCGAGCGCAAATCCTCGGCAGTTTCAGTCTTTAAAATTAAACTCAAGCGAAATCTGTTTATACGACCCCACAGACAGTACCTCCTTGCTCGTGACGAAACTCGCGGCAAAAAAATATCCGCTGTTGCCTTTCACAGTACAGTAACAAATGTTAGCAACCCTTGACATCGCCTTACCTCTATCCGGTGCTGTAAGCGACGATTGAGCTCATAGATTCTCACATCTGGATGGGTGTAATACGGAGTATGACGCCTGAAGTGACAAGGAAATATTGGTAAATGATCGATTAACTTTTTGCGCCGTGTCGTTTCGATCCTATTATACAAACTTAATAAGCGGACAACACGCGAAGAGAGCGCGTTGCAAAACTGCAAAGCACCCAAATCAACAGGCTATGTCTATTACGCTTCCATGCATCGATGATCACAACGGAAGCAAGAAAAACGCGTCGATCCAAAACGGGCTTACTGCAGCGGAACGTAAAATAAAATATTATAAAGAATCTGAAGTATAATTTACCCCGTTGAATAGCTTGGGCTTGGAAGCGGGACACTGGGCATCCTCCAGTTCCAAGAATCGGCCGTTTTCGAAGCGTTCGAAGCTTCCTCGAAGCTTCGATCAGAAGTTCGAGCGTCTGTTTGAGTGTTTGATGTCCAGCGGGAAGCTGTGCGAAGACTTGGTTGAGCTGAATAACGTTCGAACAAAGAAAACGAGAGTCATTACAATAACAAAGGGTCACTGAGCCCGATCGAATTGCACAAATGTACGCTTCACTTCATATGATCGTTTTAAGCTTATAACTACATTTGTGCCTTAACAAACTTTATTCAGATTAACCTCTATAAAAAGTTAATTCAGGCGCAATCTTTTACAGAGAAAATCAGATCGATAAGCGGTTCTGACCCAATGCTAGTCACCTAACAAAAATCATGCGTTCCTTTCACCTAACTTTCAATCTGGTAAATATTCAAAGCTAAATATAGTCAGTTTTAGCTTGGTGTATACAAAGGGTAACGCAACTAAAGCTTGCGCTTGGTTCCTCAATCTTGCCTCTGTCTAATTCCGGATATCGTGGGCGATTTAACAGGATATAGATCACATAACACGCAAAGTGAGTCGCAATTTCACATGGCCACTTAATCCTCCGGCGAGTTGTTTTCGTGAATGACCATCGCCAGTTGACAAGGTATGATTTGAAGCTTTCACAGTATCAACAAGTGTGGCATACAACTTCGAGCAGGAAGAGTAACCGTTTACTCACCCGCTTCTGGTTAAACTGGACGCTGTCCAAGGTCTTCACTCCTTAAATAACATGCCTCATAACATCCAACGTACATCCATTTGTTTATGGTATAAGCTTGATTCCCTCATTTGCGAAGGACAAAACAAAATGTCTGCTCTACTGCGAGGGTCGCTCAGCGCGGCGCTGAAACAAGCATCAATGTTTGCTGAGCTGTGATTGGACAGCTCTCCGCCAATGACAGCTGAGTAAGACATTTGCCGCGAAACAAAAGTCAAGATCACAGAACAGGTGGTAATGTTGTTGTCAAGTTTCAGACTTGCTTTCTGGCGGTTTCAAAACCTCAATTGCTTTGTTCTAAAACCTTTTACATTTCAAAATACAAAGCTTGAGGAAGCGCCAAAAATATAAATTGAAATTTCAATCAATATTTGATTGAAACTCTTCCTATAATCTTTAAATAAAAAAGTCTCCCACCAGCACTATTAGAGCTAACGTCAGGTTGTATCATATTAAGATAATTATACTATTCCTGTCGAAATAGGGTTCACATGCAAATGCATTCTAGGAACACACCTTAGCTTCACAATAATAATCTCTCAAATATTTCAATGGTTGTTGACAAAGTAAAATTTTACCGGCTGGTTTTATACAATCATGCAGATTAGTTCACTACCTGCATGAGAGCACAACTTTATAAAAAATCATCGAAACACTCCCTCAGATAGACGAACAACAATTTCTAAAAAAGTTATGTAATAACAATGGTTGGGTGAGCTAAGAGTCGTTACGCTGGCGAATCTAGGAAATTGATGACTAATGATAAAGTAATAGTTTCTACATTAGCAGTAAATAAAAGAAATAAAGGAATTACATGGCCGCGCAGGGATACGAATTTTTTTCTCCGAGTGCTGCGAGTATCTCTTACGAGTGAGCAAAGCGAACGAGTGAGAGATGCATTCAGCACGAGAAGATGAAATTCGTATCCCCAAGCGGCCATGTAATGTTCTGTTTATGATAAATACTGATGAAATTTCCACATAAAACACAATTTTTTTATTCATTTCTCTCTTGAAACTGGCTAATCATGGTAGTAACCATGGCGACACCAATATCCTCACACGTGAAAGATAAAAATAGTGTCTTCACTGCGATATGATTTTTCAGTAAAAGGAAATATCCTGGTATTTCAGCAGTATCTTATAGATAATTATTAATATTTTATAAATAGCTCGAGTAATGGTTACAAATCACTTTTCAATCACTTTTTAGATCAAAGTGTACCTGAACGGTTCGTTGTTCTTTTTTCGATAGAAGCGACAAGATCTTTAAATTCATACCAAGAATACAGTTCACTTGGAGAAAAAAAAAAAAGATGTAACACAAACAGCGGGGGCTGGAGGATGCACATCCCTTAAGAAAAAATAAAAAAGAAAGACAAAAGAAAGACAAAAGAAAGACAAAATAAGCTTACGGATCTTTTTTAATCAACAACCAAAGCGGATTCATTTTGAAATGGTGACGTTGGACTTGGGTACGTCGTGGATCGACGATATATCTGACAAATACAACTCCACGAGAAGCAAAGTCTTTATATGTCGCCACGCTAATTAAAGAAAGACATCTCCTTACTTTTGCTAACTCAGGCTTTATCTCAACGTTGTACAAAGTTCGCTTTCTAGATTGGTTATTTCCACGGTTAAACGTGTCTATGATCTTAACAATGGGTTTTGTTGTTCGCTGAAATACGTTATGTCACTGTAACTTGAAGGATGCCCATAACTACGGATTTTCACAAGCCAATTACACTAATCTTGATGATTAATCAAGGTTTGTCACTCTCCTACAATCTCTGGAAAAACATCCATCCTAATCCTAGATTAAATTATCTTACCACTACGATCTTGAAATTTTCTTTTGAAAGGCGGGCCTTCTGGTTCGTAAAACATAGTTCATGTGGTCGATAAGAGTACTTTAGGTAGTCAAGAAAAAATAACAGAATTTATCTGTACGCTTGACAGAGGATAATAAACTTCAACTTATCTTTAAATAACTTAAAGGTTAATCTGTATAAATGCATATTTTTTAAAAGAACTGGAACCATTGATGCATCAAAATGGTACACTCTAGTGCCATATTTACAACGTCATGAAAAGGATTTTAAGACAAATTACGTCAGATGTAAGTAGAAAAATCTATTGACGATTAATTGGCTATTTGAAAGAAAAACTGCTACCACAAGAAACAAAATCTTTCCAAAAGCACCATATGAAAACCCAGTTTACGAATTCACAAGATCTGCCCTAATTGCAAGAAAAAAGAACAGAATTTGCTGTCTGCTTCCAGCCAAAACGGCTGCAAATTTGAACAACGGCTGAAACCGCGATGAAGTCTAGCCTATCTTCAACTAAACTAAAAGGTTAATCTCAGTAATTATATCATTTCGAAGAATTGAAACCCTTGATGTATAACAAGATAAAATTTATTTCAAGCTGTTAAGCTGGTTACTTCACCGATATTTAAAGCGTTATGAAGATTTTCAATCTGCAAACAGCGCTGTTGCTACGGCAAATTAATAATGTATTTAAGAATGTTAAAAGGAAACAACACTATGCAAAGCCACAAGAATGAGACCAAGCAATGGTCAAAAAGGAAATAGGACAAAGTTGGATTTAATCAAGCGCGTTTGAAGAGGGTTTTGCCACAAGCAGTCAGCAGTCTGCCGCTCATTTCACGTCGTGGTCAGCGCACCACATGTACATACCAAGACTATGAACTCTGTGTGGTATGTTCCACAATCCAAGACGAACGATGGCGAGTTTTTGCGTTCGTTCCTTTTTTTAAAATCGTTTCAATAATTTGCAATCTTCGTCACATTTTCCTTCATTTTATTTGGGAAAATGATTTTAAAAGCCTTTTACTGTCTATTATTTTAAAACTCACTGGCTTAACAGACGTTCATTTTCAAAGTCCTCAGATTTTATGTTTATCGTTTCATTACCACGAGATATTAAAGGCCGTGACAAATTAGAGCACCCACAGAGAAGATACGCCCTGAGCCCTAGAGCACGTCGTGGGCCGCTGAACTGCTGGGCTGCGGATTTGCGGGCTTGCTTTTCGCAAAATCTCTTTGATAATCACACTAGAAGTAATCGTTACGGCATGTTTTCAAAGTAATGGTACCAGGAATAAATTAAGGAAATTTCTATTTTTTGGAAAACATTATTATCTCTCCTAAGTCATATCCAGCCACACCAAAGGAGTCTCCCGACAAGTCCGTGAATCTTGCTCCGCATAGCTGGGTATCTGCAATGACTTGTTGAAATACCATTTCCATCTGAAGAAAATAAAAATCAAGCAATGGAATCAATCGTTCAGTATGTTATGGCAGAATTTTCCATCCGGGATACATTGATTTGCTGTTTTTAGGCTCTGTGATTGGTCAAGAAATCTCGTGCCACCGATCATCCAATCAGATGCACAGTCTGACGTGAGGCAAAGGTGCTTGGTCATTCAGGTGGTTTTCCCGCTCTTGAAGTTGTTTACTGGTTTTTTTTTTTTTTCGAGCTCACTGGCATTTCGAGACAGAGTTTTGTCTTTTTTTTTGTTTTTTTTGATACTTCGCGCCGGCGAGGATTTCCTCAGATTGAACAGGCTCTGTTTAAGCGAGTGAGGTTGACGAACTTGTCGACGTTTTATCTCTGCAAGCCATGTCTTGGCAAGGCTGAGAAACTGTGTCATTTAAAGTGACCATCTTTGAAAACATTCATACTAAACAAAAATTAAGGTCTTTGTTATTCTGTTTACACTCACGATGCTTTCGAAATTGCTGATACTTGCAGTTTGAAGACACGTGTCGAATATAAACCTCGAAATGGCCTAGCTCACGGCAGTATTCTCAGTACCTCAGTGGTATAGCACCCGAGTGCGGAATCCGTAGCTTTGAGATATGGATCTTCACAAGCGACTCAAGAATTTTCTTCGCTCTTTGTTCCACTCTCGTGAAAAATCTTACTGTGATATCGTTCTTTACAATAGAGATTAAAACGGAAGAGAGCGCTCTTGAACTCAGATTGCACATAATCAAACAGTGCTGACAATTTCAGCAAGAAACGACTGGTCACTTTGAAGATCCTAGCAAACCACAAAAACAACAGCAAAAAGAAATCAATGCTAAAAACTTACCGTTGGACTGCTATCATCAGAAAGCTTCCAAACTCTGACACAAGAGTCTTCTGAAGCAGTAACAAGCTGAAAATAGTAACAAAATTACGTTATTTAGTTTATTGAAAAACTGAAAAAGGACAAACAATCGAAACAGTGGTGGTTACAACGCTTATGGCAACTGTTTCAAATCTCTTTTCTTACAAAAAACTGAGCTAGAAATCTCCACTATTGACACTGCTAATCCTAACAGCACACAGGATGCTGGGGCTCGTTGGTTGAAAGAATCACTTAACTGGCCCGAAAAGCGGACTATTGTTTGTCTTTTTTCGTTCAAGAGCGAGATTTTGAAAGTTCTGAAGATCAATCAATAAAGATATGGGAAAAGAGAAAAACAGGATAAGCCAATGTTTGAACTAACTCTTGCATTACCATTCCGTATAATTAATTCAAATAATACTTTATCGGTCGGGCCTGTAAAGTTACCGGGATTTTCGAGAAACGGGCCCTTGGCTCGCCAACGATTTTTTTATTACTCTTCTGGCAGAGAACAAGTTGGAGCCTGAATCTGAACATGGGACTTCTACTTTTTTCGGCTGTATGTTTGTTACAAATTTCCTTTACTTCTAGTTAAAGCTTAAAATTTACCACCTTAAGCTGTGCTCTAATAGCAAGGTCAAATCTTCAAAACAAATATATCAGTTTTTGCAAAGGAAAAATTTCCTTACTAGTCCTGCTTCTACAGAAATATCCATCGCATTTATCCAACGAGCGTGAGCGCACGCCTCAATACACTGCGCACCAGATGACGCACCGAAGACCCTAATGTGACCCGTGGCAAAACCACCAATGATAAAGTCCTTGTACAAGCACACCGTTGAGCAGGGAAACCTGGTAGAGAAAACGTGTTTAAAGAATTAGTTATATTTGACTTGACAATACATGAGTTTTCACTTGAGTTTTCATGCTTAATGGTGTATCACCTGCACTGAATAAAAATTAAATGTTCAAGTTGACATTTGGAAGGAAGATGTAACTGCTTACCCTTTTCCATCTATCTTAATAATCTCTGTAAAATGTCCTCCGGACTGCCACAGTATGATGTTACCGTCCTCATCTGATGATACAATCCGTCCACCTTGTGCTTCAAGCTCACAAATGGCTGTCTTATGTGAAGCAAGTGTCTCCTGTAGCTTCACAGCTGTTCCACGTGGGGGAATGTCGAAAACCATGATACTGCCCTCTGATGTACCTGAAACAAAAAACTTGCTTGAGGGTAACACAGTTGAACATGGACATCACTGTGGACAGAGAGCTTCGTGAAAACACACATCTAGTAGGTTTACAAAATCAAATGGTGAACACTTCCCATCTGCAGACACCCTTATGTGAAGGGTCACCCTCTGCAGGTAGACACTTCTCACAAGAACACACTTTCCTAGGGTGGACACCTCCTTTAAGGGGGGAGGACTCAAACACACAAAAAATATTACTAATAGTAATTATCTGCTTTTCTTACCAGATTACATTACAAATCCTCTGAGGGTGATTTGCCAACATACCTGTATGTAGATGGTCACAGCTGGAGTAGGAGGTTCAAAAATTAAAATAAATATTAAGAATAATAAGAACTGTCTTCTAGTTCAACTCACCAACACAAATGTACTTGTCACCAACTGCAGATATTCCTCTAGCAAAATGAGAATAGACTGTACGATAAAGGAAAAGTAAATTAAAGCTGTTTCATTAATAAAAGCAGGCTCGTGATGAGCAGGTTTGTGTTTGGGGTTAGTATCATTCAAAGGCCTCCAAATTGGACTCCATGTTCAAAATAATTAATGCTAAAATCAATACCCTCTTCTACAGATAGTCAGATTGTAATATGCTGTTTTTTATGATTTCAAAACCCACTTCAGCTACTAAAATTTCTGCTTAAAATTCCAGGCTTGATGTCTTGTAATAGAGCTGTATGGTTTTGATTAAAAAAACATAAAAACAAGGTATACCTCCTTCCTTTGATTCTCCAAGCGCTTGCCAGAAAATCATTATAGATCCATCTGTTTCAAACATCTAAATCACAAATCATTCAAATATGAACAAATAAACCAGTTCACATGTATCATGGGAACTGATATACAATAAAAACAAGGTGTTTGTTGTCTCCTATTGTAACAAATATGATGAAAATTAATTACCCACTTCTGATTGGCTGAAAACAATAGCATTTTCCAGATAACATGATAGCAAAGTTGTATCACAAGATTAGTGTAAAAATCTAGCCATTTGCAATTATTTCAAGAGATGATTTCCTTAACACTGGCAGAGAAACTGTCCCGACTGTTTGGGGTTCTTAACTCTCCTAGATGAAGAAAGGTACTTTGAGATTTGTTTTTCCTTGAAAAACCAACATAAAGACCTGATCCATGAGTCCAGAATGCTAACTGGCTACTACATCCCCAAATGCACTGTAAAAATCAAATCATCTATATAAAGTAAGAAGGACACAGTACCTGGGCACCCTTAACAGATGTGATAACTAGGACAGTTCTTTCTGGAAGTTCACACCACTTTGCCTGAGAAGTTAATTATCATCAGTAACAGTAATTTTAAAAATTCTGAACACAATAGAATGCTGTTGCCTGAAACCATATTTAATCAAGACCACAGAAACGATTAAGGATATAGGAGTCTGACATGTCCACAGTGTATTTGCAGGACTTGTGTCCACCTGGCACAATTCGTAACTGAGTCAGTATATGTAGGGCTTGACACTAACAGTAGCCAACTAGCCCCAGACTACTAGAAATTCAGTTTTGGCCAGTGGTCTTCAATTTCAACTAGCCAGTTTGGCCAGTAAACAAACCGAAATTGTCGTAACGTCTAAGATGTCACTCGCTGCTTGGCTAGTAAGTTGAAGAGTTAGTGTCAACCCCTGATATGATGAACCCTGTACACCCAAACACTGCTATTCTCTTAGCATTGCCTATGATACCGACGAGGAGAATAAGTTTGACAATCAGGAGCTTCTTAATTTGGTGACCATTTCCTCCCGGTTAGATTAATTGGTTAGAGCGCCAGACTTTTGTGTGGGAGGTTGAGGGTTCGAGCCCCAGCCAGATCAACACTCAAGGTCTTAAAATAACTGAGGAGAATGTGCTACCTTTCTATAATATCAAGAAATGGATAGATATTCTAGTTTTCTCGGATAAGGACGAATAAACTATAGGCCCCGTCTCCTGCAGGGATAGGGGTAGGAGACATTAATTTCCCACACACAAGATCACTGTGTGGTGGATGTCCTCCCCTGGGATGGGATGGGTAGGTATATCTGCTGAAGATGGGCTGTACTGCCCTTTGCAGATCAGACATTTAGATTTAGATTTTATTCTTGTGACTTTTACATTTTATCCAAGGGTGATACTGCAAAGAGAAATTAGAAACCAGTCCAAGGCTGTGCTCTAAGGAAAATTGAATGGAGCCCAGTACTCTGAAACTATGAAATCCAGGGCACCCAGCATATGCTTTTTATGAAAAAAGTAAAATTTCCGAGTCACCCAAGAGCAAAAGTAAGGCACCAGGGGCCACTGGGTGCTGCTAGACCACAGCCTTGCGGTCAATCTAAGAGGTCAAAGGGTCAACGATTCCCCCAGATGATGAGAAATTTAATGGAGCAAGGAAATAAGACTTTTTATAACATAACCAAAGTAAAGCGCGCGCTCTGATTGGTCAATTTAGCGTCCCCCATTTGCCCATGGGTGTACGCTGCTGACGTGAGCAACTGTAAAGACTATTTTTCCGTGCGCGCTTGTTTTTTCTGGTCACGTAAGATTTGTTAAATAAAAGGGAACTCTTTAGCTACAATGTGTTAATGTTATGTTATAAAACAAATGGTAAACACCACAGCGTACACTATTGAGTTATGGATGCACTTGGGAGGTTTGCTCAGCACTCAAGAAGCTAGAGTCGCTCGAGGCTATCGCCTCGAGCGACTCTTACGCTTCTTTTGTGCTTAGCAACCTCCCGCGTGCATCCATAACTCAATAGTGTAAGCTGTGGTGTTTACCATTTGTTGATTATATCACACTAAACAAATAGATTCTATGTTGCTGTGCATCTGTTCAATAATAGGTCACAGGTGATGTTAAAATGTGGTAAAAACCACAATGTCGCACTCAAGACGCTGACAAGTGCATGACTGATGTTGTTATGTCATTTACATCTTCAGTGCTCTGATTTGTTTTATAAGATGAAAAAGCAAAATTTCATGAATTGTGACATCATCTACGTGGCTGTCCTCCAAAAGATCATAATAAAGAACCAATCAAAAGACATGAATAATTCAGCTAACCTTAGAATTCACAATGACCTGCAAACTCTGATGCTAGAGATGGATTGTTGAAAACTTGTTTATGCTGCTAATAATCAAATAGTTCGTATGTTCTCAGTTCATGCCATTAGTTGCTAACCTTCTGGTCAGCTCCTAAAATGACCTGTAGTCTTAAATTTGGTACACTAACACCGAGTTTTAAGTTTATTTGCAAAGAACAACAAACAGCTGAGGTAAATTTTCATCGATGCAGAAGCAGTTTTCAGGCGCGTTCGATTATCAGATTTTCACCGAACTTATTACTGTGCACTGCATATCTATTATAAGAACAGTTCATCATGGTCATCATCAGGTCAAAGCAAGAAAAGTTTAGTTATGTAAACAAGCTGATCTCAAAGGCATGTAGATTTCATTTGAATTTAACCATTACCCCCAGCTTGGCGAGGCAATAAACAACGCAATTACCTGCAACACAGCAGAGCTACTATGAGCTCCTTCTCCTTTACAAGAGACTTGCTTCTGGTTTACGACAGTGCCCTTAGTAACGGTGGTGATACAAACAAATGCCTTGTGAACGACGCCATAAGTTAACGACTGCTTCTCCTTCGATGACAAAACCGTAAGATTGTTGCACAAGGAGGAGGCACTGGCTTTAATGCTCACCGAGGAATCTCGTGAAAACATTTTGAGTGTCAGAGAGCCCTAAAATTTAGTAGTTTTGGAGCGATTGGATATAAAATTCAGCGATCGAGTTCGTCCGAGATGGATGCTGTGAGCAGGTGGCAATGGGCTGCAGGCATTTCCCAGGTTGCTAGTTACCAGACCTATCGAGCGAGGAGGCGAAATAATCATTTCAGGAAAATTAGCTGTTATGAGAACTTTAGGACTCTTTTGAAATAGTTTTTATTTCCTTATCTTTAAACTGAAAAGAAAGAGGAAGACGCGGGAGGGAAACATCTGGGAGAGGGCAGGGATATCCTTCGCCTGTTTGCAGTGGTCTGTAGCTGTAGATGATCGGGACCGATGACAGGATGGTGCTTCGACAAAACTTAGCTGGGTCATGGGGAGTGACTTAACGTGACATACTCACGGCTAAACATTGCGAATGTTTAGTAGATGTTGAGCATTACTTTACAATATTTCAAATGAATTTAGTTTACTCTTGAGAAGTTGGGAAAATTCCCCCCCCCCACCCCCCCGTTTTTTTCGTACAGAACCCTTGGGACTTCCCTCTCTCTTAACAACACTACTGACACTATGTACTGGGTGTTCTGATGAGGTACCGTGACTGTTATTTTGCTATTTTCACGATTCTTAAATTGAGGTTGCGTAGTTGTAATAGTACACTGGCTGGCACGAACTTACATTGTATTTCAAAGCCAAGGAAACACTACCCAATAGTTCAGATGATTGGACTGCTTTTAACCCAATCTATCCTCACGAACTCAGACTCGGAAAATTCAAGGTAATTTTTTCCCAGGTGATTATTTGAACTCTGTGTAAATGTTCTCGGATTATTTTATCTCTTTAGATTCCCTTCACTCCTGTTGAAGGCTGCCCTTCCCCTTACAGAGTTATTCAGTTTGTTCGTGATGCAAAAGGAACTTAAATTTTGGGTTGCACAACGATAGTACATCGCAGATATTTAATCAGATGTCTGAAAAAACTAAGCTATTTAAAATTCAGCACAAGAAAAATGACAAGTATACTTTTTATTTCTTATGAATACAAAACCCATTTGACACGACAATTCAACAACGCACATCTTCATTCAAATCTTCGCCTTTCTTTACTGCCATCTCTTTCCTTCTGTGTGGGAAAAACGCGGGACGTACTTTAAGATTCTGTAAATTATGTATCGGCGAAGAAGTTATCCAACATTTACAAACCGGGGAGCCTCTGAAAAATCAAATATAAAGATCAAGAGCTTTGTTAGTAAAGTGTTTACAACTTTTTTTTTTTAACTTTGAAACAAGCTCGGTCTTCAGTAGAACTGAGTTCGAACTATGATTCATGATTCATTCACCGAAAGTTAATTCATCAATTATCATCATGGTTGAAGAAATTTGGCTTCATTGCATGATATATCTAACGTCAGAATATACCACAGTGGTGAAAATTGCTCTTCGCGCGCGCGGATTGGCTAGTTCGCACCTTCCCTAGTTCGAAAGTGACAGATAAGTGCTACTCACATCCGAACAGCCGAACGACCAAAATCGCGCACCAAGAGTATAATTTCCGACCATTTTTCGTCATTTTGACGGCACTAAACTATTACTTTTTTGTTTCTGTGTGGTATATACTTAAACAATTATTCACCTCTACTTCGATGAACAATTGTTAATTAAACATGGACACCACACAGGCTGAATACGATTGAACAGAGCACAGCAGGGAAGGACAAAGAGAAAGGAGGAAATTGAAGACTTAATCTACTTAGCATTTCAGTTAGAATACGAAATTAAAAGATGCAGAAAGCCAAGGTAACTGGAACTAGTAAACTAAGTCAAGGCACATATACAATTCTTGAAAATATAACCTTAAAATTTTTGATAATTCATCCACTTGATAAGATTTGCATCGTGGAACCTTCTCTTGCGACTTTTTCGTGACTGTAGACTAAACGTGGATGCACCGAAGGTACTGGATGAAACTGTCTCACCAATGATGCTTTCTAAGTCCTCCTGCATCTTGCATACATTTTCCGTATCCACAAATATTTGAGGATAACGGTAACTACGAGGAAAAACGAAAAAAGAACAAATAAAATAGAGACAGGTTTTGAACAAAGTAGGCTAACCCGCAGTATTCAGTCTCAAAATCATGTCATTTGTCCACTAGTGGACATAATAGCAAAACGGCCACTACTGGAAAAAATGGCAAAATCGCCACTACTGGACAAAATGGCAAAACGACGATTAATAGACAAAATGGCAAAACGGCCAGTAGTGGACACAGTGGCTAAACGGCCACTAGTGGACAAAATGGCAAAACGGCGTTTAGTAGACAAAATGGCAAAACGACCAATAATGGTCAAAATGGCAAAACGCTCACTAGTAGATAAAATGGTAAAACGGCCACTAGTGGACAAAATGGCAAAATGGCCAAATGGCTTCTAGTGGACAAAATGGCAAAACGCTCACTAGTGAACAAAATGGCAAAACGGCCACTAGTGGACAAAACAGCAAAACGGCCACTAATGGACAAAATGGCAAAACGGCCACCAGTGGCCAAAATGGCAAAACGGCCACTAGTGGCCAAAATGGAAAAAGGGCCACTAGTGGACAAAATGGGAAAACAGCCACTAGAGGACAAAATGGCGAGACGGCCACTGGTGAACAAAATGGCGAAACGGCCACTTGTGGACAAAACGGCAAAACGGCCACTAGGGGACAAAATGGCGAAACGGCCACTAGTGGACATAATGGAAAAACGGCCACTAGTGGACATAATGGAAAAACGGCCACTAGTGGACATAATGGAAAAACGGCCACTAGTGGAAAAAATGGCAAGACGGCCACTGCTAGTAAACAATCTAAACTCAGGATTATCGGTACATCGTGTAATCGTTTGGATGAGAGGCAACCTCTCCGAGGTAATTTTGTTAGAGTCAAGAGACTTGATGTTCATGAGAAATTACGCTCAGTTTATTGAAATGCCAGTCACTACTACCGACAACAGTCTTGTCTGGCGTACTCGGAATATTAGAGTATGCTATCGAATGAAAAAGTCCTTTAGGGCGTTGCAATGAATGAAGACGGACGTGAGAGACTGGAGTCCAGATAAAAACCTTACTCCCAAGGGTATCCCTCTTACACTAACTGGTTTCCGCCGCCTGGTTAGCTCAATTGGGAGAGCGCCGGACTGCTGTGCGGGAGGTCGAGAGTTCAATACCGGCCGGACCAACACTCAGGGTCTTAAAATTAATTGAGAAGAATATGCTTCCTTTCTTTAACATCAAGAAATGGTTAGATATTCTAGTCTTCTCGGATAGGGACGAATAAATGGAGGTCCCGTCTCCTGCAGGGTTGGGGTAGGAGACGTTAATTTCCCACGCACGAGATTGCTGTGTGATGGATGTCCTCCCTGGGGTGGGTTGGGCGGGTAGGTGAAATCGCTACGGACTAAACACGGCTGCCAGAGGCGCCTGTCTGATTTCAACCTCAAAAATTGTAACTAAACACGTATGTTGTTTAGAGAAATAGAGACCTTTACCTTTATCTTTCCTGGGCATAATTTTCTTGGAAAAGTTAGTGAATGGCGGAGCCGGACAGTTGTAAGTGTTAACCTTAATGTCGATCCTTTATTGATGAACCTACCTCAGCCAAAGATATAGATCGAGTCCTTCATGTAACGTTTCTAAATTCTTTAGCTGGTCCAGCGTCCGGGGAGCTTGGCGCGGCCAGATTAAAAACGTCTCGAGCTTTGAAGCTGTTATTGGGGAATCTTTACTCAAACACTCTGCAAACTTATAGGAACAGAATCCGGATTATTTTACTTCCATCGCGCGAAGATAGCAATCCTTAACAACTAGCATCCAAGGAAATTTAGTAGATACCGAGGAAATTTGATACTTGGAGACATGGCAACCTTTCATGAACTTGTTTTCGTACTTTTCTCGTGTTCTGTAACAGCTTGCATGGTTCATACGACCGTAAACCGATACAAAATGTGGTCTATTGTTGAATCTTTCAAATCAAAGTTACAAAGTACTGCTTTCATGCGTTGCAATTTATCAATCTACTGGACAACAATTGAAGTTCTTTCATGTCGTGCTCTTTGTAACGTAGTCTGAATGATAACCAGAGATCAGCGATTTTATTTCTTTACAATAAGAGAGAGCATGACCGCTGACTTTTGGTAAAATCACAATGGGATTTCGAGGGTAACTAATGAAAGCGGGGATAGCTAATACAAAATATTGCCGCCTTAATATTCTTGGAATGTAAAGAAAAAAAACAACAACGGATTATCGTACCTTTCTGGCAAGATCAATGATAATCGACTTTTTCACACTGATTGGAGCGGTGCTGAAAACATATTGATCACTTATGGGCAAAGGAATTCCTCTTAGTTTTCTGGCTATAGACTACAAAAGAAACAAAAAGAAACAAAACAAAAAACAAAAGTATAAAAACAAGTAAAAAAAAGTCCTCAGAGAACTAAGTGTATTCACTTTCTCGACCATCTAAAGAGCCTTGTCCCCATTCCCTGCTCATTTGATAATGATGCCATATGGGCCTAGGAAAATTTTCGAGTTGACATCAACATGCTAAAATCAGCATTGCTTCGAACGTTCCGTGCTGCGGAAAAATTGAAGTTGAAAAACAAATTAAGATGCTCAAAATGAGGAGCAGGGCATTTCAAACTATCTTGAAGCTCATGAAAAAAAAAAAAGCGAGGTTCATAACTGATCAGTCATATCAAACACAACCCAAGCAATCAACCAATCAGCAAGAATCACGCAATCCGCGCCAAGCGCGGGAAAAACTGAGACGAAATCACATATTTGAACGTGAGACGTGAGACGAAATCACTCATTTGATCGCGCAGATTCTGATTGGCTAAGGAATGATGAGTCTTAATGTGATTGGTCGTCGCACTGAAATTCAATTTCGAACCGATTGCAGATCCCACGCAAGCAATGCTGAACTGGGGCCATTGAGGTCAATTCTAACAACTGTTGTACCTGAAAATATAATAATCAAACCTTTGGATCTGCCAAGTCGCACATGAAATAGTTTGCACCATCCAATTGAACCACAGTTTCAAACATTTCCTATGATATCGACAAAATTTATATATTTAATACAGAATTAAAGAACAAACTGTGATAACCAATAAAAAGCACTTGACAACTTTAGTGTCTTACAAACTGAACTCGCAAACAAAAGTAAAGGAAAAGAGCTAAAAAAAGTCTTGCCCGGTGTAAGGACTATTTATTCGTTTAGTCTGATCATCCGTATGAGTGTAATCCTGAGAAGGACCGTGGTCAGTAAAAGTGGCTGACGTTTCCACGACCTAAGCAGAAGTACGATTACACTACAAGATCAAATTTTTTTTTACCTTCGAGTTTAATCATTTTCTGTATTAGAACCATCTAAGTCAAATTTTACCGCATCTTCTCGCTATAGCTTGTCGCATTTTTATACCTTTCGTAAACCAAAATCAGAACCAACGCAATCTTACGACCAACCAGAGAGAAGAAATATAACACACACTAAACGTAAGCATAAGTAAACCGATTGAAGCGCGAGCGACAAAGTGCACTGTACTTGGTGAGAGTGTGGCGCGAAATTCTACACCAATAGCAGCGCAATGTAAGCTAAACCCTAGCAATGTCGGATTATTTAAGATACGTCATTGACTTACGTATAACTTCAAGAGACTTGCACCGGGGAGTTGTTGAGCGAGCATTTCTATTTGCTCCATACTGGGGGCTAACCCAGCCGCCTGAAGGAAAATGGAAAAATGAGAGGAAAAAAAACAAGAAAAAAATCATTTATAAAAGATTTAAACAATGGAACCTAATAACTTAGTACTGTTGAAAACTCATTATTATCAGACCCTGTACGAAGCTTCATACATAAAGTTTTTATGGTTTGCCTTTGTTTCTTCTTATCGTTCTCTCCCAAGCTGGCGGTTCTTTTAGCTTTAAAACATCCCTACAAATAAGGAGGGACTCGAAACGCTAAACGCGCAGATTCGAGCGCCAGAATTTACCTCTAATTCAGCTTACACGACTAAAATTTTTGAATATTTTCAAATGGAAATTCTAATATTATTGCATTATTCTGCGTAGTTCTTGTCACTGCGTGTCAAGGATCATTCATCAATGATTTTCCAAATTTGGAAAAACAAGTCAGAGATCCGAACCTGAGATGTTCTATAAATTCAGCTGTCGAGCCAAATCTTGTGACGCAAAGTCAATTGGGAAGAGTTCAGCCAAACAATGCTTCTACCTAAGATACTAATTGTCACTGAAAGAGGAGTGCATGTTACGTGGTACATTGTGACACTAGGTTCCAGGCTGCGCTCGTTCTACAGAGGAATACCGAAGATAATTTCAACGCAAGCATTCAGCATGAAACTATTTGAAAGAGACCTTAGCATCAAACGACCATCGCATTCGCTAACAGCAGTTACCTTCACATCTTCTATAGGTTCTTTCATCAGCCTTTTAAGAGATTTGGAGTCGTATTTACTGACCCTGTTTCGAGATAAGGGAAGTCGCTCAGTAAGTATTGATAGGCAAAAGGAGCTAGAAATGGATTCAGAGTGATTCGTTTCTAGGTTTCTAAATTAAAATACTGTTCAGCTCGAAGGAGAACCACATACATCCTACTTGGTCTGAAACTGTTTTTACTCAAAGCTGAAAATTCTTTTCATGCAGAAAATAAGCAGCTTTCTTACGTGGTGACTTCTCCCTTAGAATGAGCCGAGCCATATCTCCCAGCGCGACCAGCGATCTGTTTGGCTTGGGAGGACGTTAGCGGCGCCATGCTATTGCCGTCGAATTTCCTAAGCGAACTGAAAACAATCCTCCTAATGTTCCTGAAAATGGTAAGGGGAAAAATGACGAGCGAAATTCAAAATACATAAATAAATGAATATGGGTGATAATTTTAAAACTAATTAGAATCTATGATTTAGAGCGGATAAACTTAACTCAAAGTATAGACCAACAGTTGTACAATTCAGTTGACAGACTTACAAGTTCAGCCCCATTCCAATAGCATCTGAGGATACCAGTACAGAACACTCATCTGTTGGATCATTAAACTTCATTGCTTGCTCCAATTTTGTGGCTCAAGTTAATCGAGAAGGGAAATTTTAAACACTTGTCACATAAAAAGAAAATAAAGTAAAATAGTCTTTGGCCGGTGTGAAAAGGCGTTTGCCTGTCTGAGTTCTCACCGGTATTTTTTTTGCGTATCTCGCCTTAGTAATCTATCTTAATTTATTCACTTATTGCTATAGAGAAAAAAGGAAAAGTTATTAGATATAAATAGAATCTCAATAGAATTTAGGGGTCTCCATAACGTTTTCCACAAACGGCTGCCGATGGTGTAAATCGGCGACCGAGCCTGAGGTGAAACCCGAAAAAAAAAAAGAGCCTGCCGTGAGAGGTCTTATAAGCAGCGGTTAACCGTCTGTAACCAGTTTTCATTGAAACCTCTGGGTTTTACAAAGCTCCTTCCACTTAAAAAAAGTTTACTTACCTGGCGGAAGACTTCCATAAATGATGGCACACTTCTTGTCCGTTTGTCTTTCAATCTGTCTTCGCACTTGGTACAAATCCCACTGAGAAAACGCGACAACACAATCTCCAGCTCTAATACTTTTGAAATTCCCATCTAAAAATAAACCATATCACGACTCAGTGCAGCCACTGGTTACTTTTTGAGCAAGAACCACGCATCGCAACAACTGAGGCAACACGTCTCTCAGTAGTTTCTAGGTCAGTCAGCTAGCAACACGAAACAAAGAAACACAATCTGTTTCATGACTTACCAAGACTACGCTGGCTGATTTCCAGAGGGCACAGTCTCTCATAATGACGAATCTGTTGTGATAAAAACAACAGAAAAGCAACTTATTCCACGGCTGGATTTCCATTTATGTCGATTTCATTATTTCACATGGCACTCTAGACTGTTTTAGAGAAAACTTCGGGTGATATCACGTTCCAAGTTGGAGCATGCACCAGGCAATATTCAGCCCATGTGTTGTCGCAATGCCAATTGAGCGATACATCTGTACCTCTGAAATGGTGTTCAACCCATACATTTTTCTTTGTGTCTGTTTGGTACTCTTGTCCGTCCATCTTAGTAAAGTATAGTCGTGTAAAACTATAAAAAAAAAAGCGATACTCGCGAGAAGCTATAGTTATAGAAATTGCAGAAAAATGCCCGAAAAGAAAGGTGCCATTTTGAACACACAGCACATTTTCAACGGACTGTGGTACTACAGTCGTTGGTCTCCAAACTTGAGAAACTTTGCCATGTACAGAAAATCTTACTTACCTCTAATTCATCATTGCACGAAGACACTAATCTTTCCACTAAATTTATGGCGGAACTTTCTCCACAAACATGTATTTCCGCGCATAGCAGACCTGGTAAAATGACAGCAGAATAAAGTAACATAAACGATTTCCTTGTAATTTACATTCATCATAACACTGCATCAAAGATCACCCTGTAACAACAGAAAAGTGCTCTCCCGGCTTAAACTGCACTGGAGCAGTGTTTGAAAATAAGTGAATATCAGGTTTTATGATCCACCCAATGTTTTTGCTCACACACAATTCGTTTAAACGCAGCTAAAACTGGCGGATATCCGAGTATATCACCCTAGTAATTATTCCCCAATTTTCAAACCTACGTCCACAACGATAGGTCTTCGTTTCAAATTTAATCCAAGATTAGATAGAGTTTGTGATTGTTACAGAGGAAAGGAAATCTTTCCTTGTTCATTAAGTCGTACCAGAGAACCCTGAAAAAACACCTCACACTGCATAAGCTGTTCGTGAACATTTTTTTACACGCGTTGCAAAATATTTGAAGGATACTGAACACAATAGCCTCTATAATAAGAACGGAATGATATTTGTCCTTGGACGTCATCTTTTCCTCGAAGCTCACAATTTTCCTCGAGCTTCGCTCTTGCAAAACTGTTCGCATGTTGGAAGAGATTATGTCCGCGAACAAATATCCGTATATGTTTTCGCGCCAAATAAAGGCTATCGTTCATATATTACCCAATAATAGTTTGGACATATTCAGGCATGAGATGCATTCATATCAAGCCAGTGCAAGTGAAAGTATTTCTTTTATCTCCTGACCATAATGTTTGATTCACGGGTGATATTGTTGGGAGAAATAACATGCTAGCCACTTTTAGGGGTTGAAGGGTAGTAAATCCAAAAGTTTTCATGCCAATCTACTGCATCTCCCAGCTCCTGGAAGGGATCCTTTCTAATTTGTTTGAACTCACCTAAAAGAGCTCGTGACCAGGCCCAGCCTCGTTCTGTGTCTCTCATCATCTGGATTTCATCAATCACAGCGCAATCAACTAAACAAAGGATTTACAATCAACAACATTAATCAATAAAAAATCTAACTAGGTGCTGGCTCACTGCTGCCTGAGCTTATTCTGGTTTCTGCAGCACAAAGCAACAGGAGCATGGTTCCTCCATACCCTAGACAGGATGAACTCCCCACCCCTTCCCCCCCATTTTTTTTCTTGATTGTTCACTAGTACCATTAATATTCCATGGAGGAGAGGGGCTCTGGGACAGTGAATGGCCTTGCCAAAGAACACACCCCAATAACTTTGGCAGTCCTGCTAGCAAACCACTCATTATAAATACTTTGTCTCCCTCTGGTATAATTGATACCATAGATAAGGAAAACATACATACACACACCACCCCCACTCCCTAATACAGAGACTGAGCAAGAAAGGAAGGTATCTGTTTGAGTTTTGAATGTAACAAACTAGTTTCATAACACACACAAGGTGTTTTTTCTTCACTGTGATCACACAAATTTTATAAGCTTACTGCTTGAACGCAAAACTTCTTGACTGTACATTGTACCCCTTTTATTTAAGCAATTGTCTCAAAGACAATTAAGGCTTTTAATGGTGTGTTCAGTGACTTCTGTAAATAAACTGTTAAGCTTGTAAAAGAATTGCGATGTGACAAAGGTTCCTTGTCTTAAAAATCAGCTTTCAAAAGCTTTCAGGGTTCGACATCTCTGCTAGCCAGGTAGCCTAAGGCTAGTAAAAATTTGGTCGGGCTAGTAAGAAACCATGTTTAATAGCCGGTTGGCTAGTAGAAAAATTGAAAGAAATTATATGTAATTAGTTTACTTGAAGCTCACAGTTGATTAAAAAAATCAAGAAAGTTTAAATTGTAATGATAATAACAACAAAGAAGGCATAAATCTTTCATCCTCTGGGTCGAGTTGTACAAAAGTGGGTTAAGATAACCCAGGGTTAGTGTGAAATTAGATTTCAGATCCGAAAGCTTTAAAAGAAAATTCAGTTTATTTCCACTTGTTTACAATTTGATGATTGAATGAGCTAAAAAGAATTGGAAAAATTATCCCAAAATAGCTATTGAACAAAGAATATAGAAACCTGGATTAAAATTTAACCTTGGGTTAGCACTAATCGGCCTTTAAACAACTGGACCCTGGCGTCTTTTTTTGTCTTGCGTGTCGATTGTAAACATTGCTAGATCCCAGACTCTGTGCTTAATGGTCAATGTCTTCCCCAGTCTTCTCCCTACCAATGTTGCGATGCTTTGCAAATCGCCTCGCACGATCACCTCGCACTTGAAATTTACCTACCTTTTTCCCTAAATAGCACATTATGTTATCACAACAAAAGAAAAAACGCCATTCTTTATCATTTTGAAAGACTTTGCCAATAAGTTTAGAGGAAGGTTTGCGTGTTTGGGGTTGAAGTAGACCTCAAGGGATATTGATCTAAGCTACCAAATTGTGTTCTGGGCTGGTAAATTTTAGAAATCACTAGCCCAGTGGCTAGTGATGCAGGTAGCCAAGTGTCGAACCCTGGCTTTGATAAAAACATAACTAAAAGTCCCTCAGAGACAATAGTAAGTCACCTTATGCACCTGAGCTTTCCTTAAGTACAACCTATATCAGTCTCATTACTTACAAGGTCTTTTCGTGAGACACATCTCAACAGTGCATGAAATGTGATTAGATGGGTCATCTGGTGACACTGCCCACTGTCTGTCCTCGCCAGTCAACAGGTCACATGGTACTCCCTTAAATAATCATAAAAATTGAATAACTAAGCCAATTATTGACACTGTAACTGAGGGGATTTGATTATAAGTAACTAAAAAGAGAGTTTCCATTAATAATTGTAACAATAACTAGGTGGAATTGCATAACTGAGAAACTTTATACAATTGGATCGGCTATCAAGACCTGACATTCTGATGAAATTGTGACTTAAAAAGTGAGGCTTGCTGAAATTTCACTATTCTTAACACCCACACAAATTCAGGCAAAATAAAGTGTTCCCAATTAGCTCAGAGGTATAACTGTTCTAGATACATTGACACTGAAAGTTTGTAACTGATAGAAATTCTCTTCAAGTCAAGTATGGAAATTGTAAGTAAAGAGAAAAAGGAGCCATAATAGTGAAACCCAAAGACAGACAATTGGGATCGAAAGAAAGAAAAAAAGACAGACTGGAGGTCATGGAGTAAAGCACAAACACTGTGACCAGCAGCTGACTACGAGGGGAGGAGCTGCTCTGTGAATGGAAAAGGTGCCACAAAGAAAAGGCAGATAGGAAGTAAAAACTATCAAATATGCCTAATTATGCAGCAGTTGCTTTATTTGCTTTGACTTACAACATTGTTTGTTCTCCTAAACACTTCTGTTGCTAGAAGCCGTAGTGGACCACAGTAAATTCCAGAGTAAGCTGCGTGAAATCTCTGAATAGCAGCATGAGTCTTCCCACTGTTTGTTGGACCAGCATGAAAAATGATTTTCCTTTTCATTGCTCTAGCTTCAGGAAACCTAACAGAAAACAAACAAAATAAAATGTATGATTTCCAGTTTAACAAGTAATTACTAGTAACAGGCTATGACAGAAAAAAATCAGGGGAACAAGTACCTACTCTTCGGGAAATGGGAAGGAGAGGACCTAGGGCTTAGTAAAGTGAGGATAATTCACTTACAAATCAGTGGGTCCACGCAAGTCTGATATCTTTTTCACTTCCGCAATACTGTTTAGCATGGGATGAACTTTCTGCGCATATGTCATGAACAACGGGAAGAGTTGTTGCATGTAATCTGTAGATTATCAAAATCACAAACATTTCATGAAAACAGAAGAGAATACACCAAAGATTTTATCATGATTGGGCTCATTTCATTGGAATGGCTAACCTGTTCCCTGTAAATGGCAATGGCAGTTAACAATCAACAAAGGCGAATTTTTTTTTTCTTACAGAGGTCCCCTCCTCCCAATTCCCAATAACCAGGCCAAACCACATCACAGTAATCTCATGATGTGCATTCTTTAACCTCCCCTACCTAATCAAATTATCTAATTAAAGATACAGGAGACGGGACCTATGGTTTATTCATCCTTATCCAAGAACACTAGAATGTCTATCCATTTCTTGACATTATAGAAAGGTAGCACATTCTCCTCAGTTATTTAAAGACCCTGAGTGTTGGTCGGGCCGGGGCTCGAACCCTCAACCTCCCGCACAACAATCCAGCGCTCTAACCAATTGAGCTAACCGGGAGGCCGTGTATAGAAGAACCCTCTTAACTCAAACCCAGTTAACTGAAACCCCCATTAACTCAAACAAGGTCCAATTTCCCTTGGATTTCACCCCACATTTCTAGTCATTCATTAAATTAGCTAACTCAAACTCCACATGAACTTGAACTAAATTTACTTTCCCATGGCTCAAATTTACCCTCGAACTTTAAGCTAAAAACATTAGTCAACATAATTTGTGAAATGCCCTAATTTTTGTACCAAATGGAGGTTATCTTTTAATTTATTACACGAATCAGGCAGTCAGAGGGTCAATAACTAAATTCAACCAATCAAAATGCTCTACTGCCGGTCAATATTCTCTCAGTATTGGACCGGGCACTGTCCCAAATGGTCCCAAATGATACCACACTTGTGTCCCTTTGAACTTCAGTCATATAATAAATATCTTATTAACAAAGCTTGCTCGGGACCGTACTGGAAGAATATTGGCCCTCCGTCTTTTTTGTACAGACCTCCCTCCACTCAGTCCCTGCTGTCAAGACCTCAGGCCGATATTCTCCCAGTAAGGTCCTGGCACTTGGTTAATAAGATATATATATCCATAGCTTACTGGCATTATAATAAGATGAACTGAACAGTTTCAGCATTTCTTTGTTCCCATCTTCCACTTGCAAAATTATTTTCCTTTTGAACTCTTGAAAGATTCTCTTAAATAAAGCATCTGATACAGAGTAAAATAAACATAGTTATTACAAGATAAAAAATTCTTAAGGAAAAAAATTCTGACTTTGTATTGATGCAATGATCAATAACAATCAAATTGCAATCAATGTTTGAGTACAATTTCTGAAACTACTTTTTCACAAGATGTAATGTATACCAATATTCAAGAGTTAGAATGTTACAAAAGTATATGTTATCATTGGTTTCTCTTGTATAGTATGGAGTTTAGGAAAGATGAAATTCAAAAATGATGTGAGCAGCTGGAAAGAGGTATTCCTTATTTTAAAAATGTCTTAAATAGAGGTTTGATGGACACTGCGGAAATACGTTTTTTAGGGCACGATACAGTATTTTAATGGTCAGCGAAC